TATTGAGTTAACTAAGTTGGTCATTTTGAAGATAAATTCTAATTACAAGTGTAATACAGAATTTAACCACAAGATGTCGCCAAAGGATTACTTTTAAATATAGAATTTCTCTAGAGAAAATTAAACTAAAAAATGATTTGAGATTTTGAGTTAAAAATATATTCTCTCTCTCTCTGCCCCTTTCTTAAGATGCTACCAACGAGCTTGTCCATGCTCTAGTACTTTCCCACATGGATTATTGTAACCCGTCTTCCCAAAAGCCGTATCGCCCCGCTACAGTCTGTAATGAATGCTGCCGCCAGACTGATTTTCCTCTCTAGTCGGTCCTCTCACACCTCACCCCTCTGTCAGTCCTTACATTGGCTTCCTGTATCCTGTAGGAGTCAATCCAAAGTGCTAACCCACACCTGTAAAGCACTGAACAATTCTAGTCCCTCTTATATCTCATCACAGATCCATAGGTATGTCCCTTCTCTGTCTTTCCGCTCTGCCCATGACCTTCTCCTGTCCGCTGCTCGCACCTGCACGGCCAACTCACGCTTGCAGGATTTCTCGTGGGCGGCTCCTTTCCTATGGAATAGCCTGCCTACTGCCATCAGACTCTCCCCTAGTCTTCAATCGTTTAAGAAGTCTTACAACCCATCTCTTTAGGAAAGTTTATGGCCTCCCAGAATATCCTCTACCTCACATACCTGTCTCCTGCTCTCTCCTAAAGGGCAGCACTCTACTCTCTCCTCCAGCTCTTCTTTGGGGGGCAATTGGATTGATGTTTTATCAGCCTTTTGCCCCCCCCCCCACCCCCCTCCAAGTTTAAATACATCCTAGCAAAACCTCTGAACTGCTCACTGAGAACATTTGTTCACTTTTGAGAAAGATGCAAACCATCTTTTTTGTACAGTTTCTTTCCATTCCAAACAGAGCTACCATGAGGAACATCCATGTTTAACCCCTTAGTGACCAGACCGTTTTTCCATTTTCTTACAGTTAAGGATCAGGGCTCTTTTTACATTTCTGCGGTGTTTGTGTTTAGCTGTAATTTTCCTCTTACTCACTTACTGTACCCACACATATCATATACCGTTTTTATCACCATTAAATAGTCTTTCTAAAGATACCATTATTTTCATCATATCATATAATTTACTATAAAAAATGTTAAAAAAAACCCCACACCTTTTCAAACTTGGACCCGCAAAAGGAAAGGATCTTTGATCCTGAGGAAAGCCCAACACGGGGCTGGAACGTTGATAATTTTAATGTATACCCAATAAGAGTTTTGAATTTTAAAGAAGACCGTGGAGTGCAGCCTTTCTTGTGGATATTCTATGTGAACCAGCCAGCAGGCTTTGGCACCCGGCATCTACCAAGATAGCCTGAGTGCAAGGATTTTTTCTATTTAATTTATTAACTATATTTGTATTTTATTTTAACTTTTCCCAAACTTTTTAAAAACTTTTTCCACCAGCAGTCGCCCTGCTGGCAGCACTGTGGACACCTATTGCGGCCATGTGACCGCTTTTTTGGAGCGGTCACATGGCCCTTGGGGGTCCTAAATTGGAGAGGGGGGACTGTCTGGGCTGAGCCCAGACAGTCCCTCCTAAGAATAAGACCGATCGCCGCTGGGGGAACGGCGGCGATCGGTAAGTACATGGGGAGGAAGGGAGGGTAGGGTTTAAAAAAAAATTTCAATTATTTACTTTTTCTTTTTTTTTTACATTTACTGAGTTCCTCCACCCCTCAAGGCACTCAGCACAGGCAGAGCATCAGAAGCCTGCTTGATGGCTTCCGATGCTCTGCCTCACTGCCGGGCTCCACATGGAGCAACCCGGAAGTAATTGCTCCCCTTAGGGGCCACCAGCAATGAGGAGGGTATTGCAGCGATGCCTCAACATCGAGGCATCACTGCAATACCATTAGAGCTACTGGAAGCGATCATGATCAGGTAAGTCCGCGGTCCTTAAAGACCGTTTTTTGTCGGAAGAACCTAATACACCCATGGTCACTAAGGAGTTAATAACTAACACTACATACACATGACACACTCCTGTTTTAAAATGCCATATGATATTCAAACAACCCTTTCATTCACACAAACACCACGTATAAAAGTACACCTGCATTTACAAGCTAACACTACATAGAAATAAACACCTGCATTCAAACCCAAACATTACATATAAGTACACCACTGCATTCAAATGTCAATGGTACAAGCAAATACACGCTTACTACATACAAAAACATGATTACATTCAAACGCACAAACACTGCTCACAAATACAGCCCTGCAATGATGGGAAAATGCTTGTGGGAGTTGTATGACAGATCGGGATCCAATGTTTGTCCACCCTTGCGCTAGAGGGTGTTCCACAAGCATGTCTTTCACCAGGGCCCTCACTACATTATTTCTGCCACTGACATGAAAAACTGTTTAACTCTGAACGGCTAAACGCAATGACAGCGTCTGGGGACTCCAGACACTATAACCACTCCAATGAGATGAAGCAGTTACACTGCCTTTATTGTCTCTTTGATATATAACTTTCTATTGTCAGATAAAGATTTATTTTGGATTTATCTAGTTTTATGAAATATATTTGTTTTAATAATATGTTGTTGTGGGGGGTTTTTGTGTCTCTTTTTTCATAATTCGTCAAGCGTTTGAGTTGAGGAGTTACATACTAATTCTTCTTGACCTCTCCGCTGCTTTTGACATTGTTGATCATGTTCTCCTTCTCCAACCTCTTTAATCTCTCTGTGTCTGTGACTCTGTCCTCTCGTGGTTTTCCTCTTATCTCTCCCAACGCTCATTCAGCGTCTCCTTTTCTAATGATATCTCCACCATTCGTCCTGTCTCAGTTGGAGTCCCCCAAGGCTCTGTCCTTGGCCCCCTTCTATTTTCTCTTTATACTGCCTCTCTTGGCAAACTTATTACCTCTTTTGGATTCCAATACCACCTGTACGCTGATGACACCCAGATATATCTCTCCTCCCCGCACCTCTCCCCGATGTCCTCCAATGTGTGACCTCTTGCCTTTCTTCTATCTCTGATTGGATGTCCTCCCGCTTTCTGAAACTGAATCTTTCCAAAACAGAACTTCTTGTCTTTCCTCCTCCTAATATTTATCCTCCTCTTTCGCTCTCCCTTCAGATTGGTGGTACCCATTTCAGCCCATCCTTACAAGCACGTTGTCTTAGTGTTACTTTTTGATTCTGGCCTCACCTTTGAGCCTCACATCCACTCTGTTGTCAAATCATGCCAATTCCACCTCAAAAACATCGCAGCATCCGACCCTTTCTTACACAAGATGCTACCAAGAAGCTTGTCCATGCTCTAGTAATTTCCTGCATGGATATTGTAACCCTCTCCTAATTGGTCTTCTCAAACGCCGTATTGCCCCGCTACAGTCTGTAATGAATGCTGCCTCCAAACTGATTTTCCTCTCTGGTCGGTCCTCTCACACCTCACCCCTCTGCCAGTCTTTACATTGGCTTCCTGTATCCTATAGGAGCTAATTCAAAGTGCTAACCCATACCTATAAAGCACTGAATAATCTTAGCCCCTATTATGTCTCCTCACAGATCCATAGGTATGCCCCTTCTCAGTCTCTCCGCTCTGCCTGTGACCTTCTCCTGTCCGCTACTCGCACCTGTACGGCCAACTCACGCTTGCAGGACTTCTCGTGGGAGGCTCCCTTCCCATGGAATAGCCTGCCTACCGCCATCAGACTCTCCCCTACTCTTCAATCGTTTAAGAAGTCTTACAACCCATCTCTTTACGAAAGCTTATGGCCTCCCAGAGTAACCTCTACCTCACATACCTGTCTCTTGCTCTCTCTTAAAGGGCAGCACTTTACTCTCTCCTCCAGCTCTGTTTCACTCCCACCTATTTACTGTCCTAATGTGTTTTATACTGTGTTTTTTATATAAAATATATTTCACATGTAGGACACACCAGCCGCCACTAGGTGTCAGCAATAAACTGAAGAATGACAGAAAATGAACAATTTGTTGCAACTGAGCAGTGGATGTCAGAGTTGAGAGGTTAGAAACTGGAGGCGGGCACCAAGAGGAGAGGTAGGTCTGGACTCTGGATCGTGATCGTGCTAAATGAAATTAAGTTAATAAAATCGCCCATAGCAAGTAATGATCCAGCTGGATCGAAATCCTAGGAGTGAAGTGCCTTCCTGCCTCCGGAGTGCGGATTAGGCTCTGTAATGCTCGTCAGAGAGGCACTCCTTCCTGGCAGCCTGCAGAGTGGGTGGGGGACACATGCTTGTTAGTAACTGCAGGAAAGAGCTGGCGATATTTATTCTGTACGTTCCATGGAACCTATTAATAAGGGCATCCTATCCGGCTGCATGTACCTACCGAGGGTTAAAGTGCAGAGCCGATCACTTGGAGCCTGGGCTTTGTGCATTCCGTATTTCATACATATTTGGAATGGGAATGAGAATGTTAACACATTCGTGCACAGTTCTGTATGTCAGCTATTTGGTGATTAGTGCTGAATGTATAATAAATTTGAGGAAGTCCAGCTATTTTGTAATCTGCCAATAAATTGGCACTGGCAGCATTGGGGTTTGTATACCCGCTAGTTAACGTGTTTTTACAGCTAATGGTCTACATAAGGTACATTTACACAGTATGTGCAATGTCCCTATGGCTACTGGAAGCAAATGTATATTCTCATGTTTTTTCATCATGTAACTGTGAAACTGAACGTAAAAGCACCATGACAACATAATCGTATTGTATGATGTCAATACAGTCTGTTCCCATTTACTTGTAACTTGCAGTGATTGGTTAAAATGCTGTGGCTACAATCTCGACTGTTTTCATAATTACATCAATGGGAGAATCCACCTGGTTTTAGAAGTATAGATTTGGATTGAGCCATTGAGTGACACATCAGGGAAGATTTATCGAAGTGTTCTGTGCTAAAGTGGTGCAAAATGTAAAACAGGAGAAGTCCCCATTGGAATGTGCCGAATTGTTTACATGGTGTCTATCCCAGTTTTAGCACTTAAAGGAACACAATAGGGTCAGTAACACAAACCTGTATTCCTGAGCCTATGGTGTTAAAACTACCACCCCCGCTGACTCTCCACCTTGCCTTCCTAAATATAGTAAAAATTTACTTGTATTTAAGTCTGCAGCTGCTGCCTCTGCCCCTGATCTGCCTGCTTAGCCGACATCATCAGAAGTAATTTTGTAAGCCAATCACAATGCTTTCCCATAGGATTGGCTGAGACTGTCAAGAAGGCAGATCAGGTGCAGAGCCAGCACAAGTCAAACACAGTCCTGGCCAATCAGAATCTCCTCCTAGAGATGCATTAAATCAATGCATCTCTATGAGGAAATTTCAGTGTCTCCATGCAGAGAGTGAATACACTGAATTGCAGTACTGCACAGTGTGCAGCACTGCCCAATGAAGCACCTCTAGCAGCCGTCTGAGGAGTGTCCAGTGGAGATATCACTAGGCTGTAATGTAAACACTGCATTTTCTCTGAAAAGACCGTTTTTACTGCAAAAAAAGGACACTCCAGGCACCCAGACTACTTCTGCCCATTGGAGTGGTCTGGGTGCCAACTCCTATCACCCTTAACCCTGCAAGTATAATTATTGCAGTTTTTATAAACTGAAGTAATTGCCTTGTAGGGTTAAGTCCTCCTTTAGAGGGACTTTTGTGTTCTTTACCTCCAACGTCGCTGTAATCCCCATAGGAAAGCATTGAATAGTGATTTCCTATGGGGAGATCTAATGCACGTGCGTGGTCATTGCACCGCATGCGCATTAGTACTCCCTCTCCGTCTGGTGTCGGCGAGGGAGGAGCGATGGTGGAGCCTGACCCAGCGCCGAGGGATATGGATTCAGGTAAGTCACAGCAACATGGGATGAGGAGTGGGAGGGAGAGGGGCACTGCAGAGTTCTGCAGTGCTAGGAAAAAGGATATGTTTTCCTGGCACTGGAGAGTGCCTTTAACCCCTTAAGGATACATGACATGTGTGACGTCATGATTCCCTTTTATTCCAGAAGTTTGGTCCTTAAGGGGTTGAGGGAATGATTCTACTCACCAGAACAAATACCATAAGCTGTAACTGTTCTGGAGACTATATAGGGTCCCTTTAAATTTGGATTTTCCCAGAATCCCACCTCTAAACACGACCAAAGTAAACAGGTTCCAGACATTATAATAACGGCAATAGATGTCTGTGCCAGTGATGCTATAATTGAGAATTTAAGTAGGAGAAGCCTTTAATTAACCATACAAATTAAAAAGCAGGCTTTTTTTCCCCCCCACAGAAACCTTCCCAGTGCGATTCTCAGTTTACCGAGACTGCTGCCTGGTAATACAATATCTTATTTTATTTCAGTGCCAATTTTTTCCACTTGTAATGTTCGTTTTTACAGTTATGCTTCCAATTTGGCGACTTTGACCTTCAATTTTAAATTGTTACATACGTGAATAGCCCTGTGTGTTTTGAGGTCAAACGTCTTTTCTTTTTAGAATGTTTAACTTGTGTCTGATTATTTCAACTCTGTGAAGAAGCCATTCTTGTCCATATTGCCATGTAGAAAACAATGTTGTACTACTACAGTTAAATCCTGTAGATGGCAGCAGATGACTAGACAATTACAATGATAAAGTGACTTGCTGCCATGTCTTTATTTGTGGAAAACAACCAATCAACATGTGTAAAGACCACATTTGATGTAATTATTATGCAAACTAGTGTCAAACTAACTTAGCAAGGGAATATTCACACTAGTACTTTGAATGAAAACGGTTTATATTAGAAGTATGTGTTCAGAAAGAAGAGTAACTAGTATAGTATGAAAACTCTAAAAACAGACTTAAAGCAGGTAAATCCCTTTAACGAAGCACAAAGAGTTTTGTATTGGTTACTGCAACGCATTCAGTAAGGACAATGTATTGGATAACCTATCATAAAGGGACACTATAGTCACCCAGACCACTTCAGCTCCATGAAGTGGTCTGGGTGTCAGGTCCCTCTAGGGTTAACCCTGCCTGATGTAAACATAGCAGTTTCTCAGAAACTGCTATGTTTACATCTGGGGTTAAGCCAGCCTCTAGTGGCTGTCTTCCACTAGAGGTGCAATGCAATGATTGAAGCATATTATGCCTCAATCACGCAGAGCGTCCATAGGAAAGCGTTGATAAATGCTTTCCTACGGACACTTTGAATGCGTGCGCGGCATTTGGCGCCGGTGACGTCAGACAAGGATGCTCACGTCGGCGGGGGAAAAGGGTGAGTAGCTGAAAGGGTTTTAACACTATAGAACCCTGGGGGTGCCCCCACACTTCAGCGCCCTGGGAGGGGGACACTGAGGGTGGGGGCACCCCCAGGGTACTATAGTGTAATAATAAGCCTGGTTAGTCATATTTTTTTGATTCATATTCTTCCTCTCCACTCATAGAAGGCTGAGGAATTTCCTTTAGTGGCGTTTTTTTACTTTTTATTAACATTTTTCAATTTAGAAAATTGGGCAGACTAGATGGGCCGAATGGTTCTTATCTTCCGTCACATTCTATGTTTCTATGTGGTGCATGGGAAAATCTCTAGGCTTCAAAATGCAATTTCAGGACTGTTGGCACGTATGATATGCTAAATCTAATTCTCACCATTGAATATTGTTGGGGTGTCTATTGAATGTTTAGGCACACTGAAAAAGCAGAGAAAGGATCCCCTTGCATACAAAGTTCCAGAAAACTTATTTGGAGGGTAAGATGCATTGCAATGTGGAGAAGTAGTGGCCAGTTGGTGGTTAACAAATGTCTCCATGGTTTCTAGGCCAGATAACATTCTGTTTTTTAGGCTCAGAGATACAGTCATAGAGTTCTATGTAAAATGTTTCAAATGCAGGTTATGAGACTTAATACTATTCTGAATCTTCTGGTTTTCTCTCATTCCCCAGAATCATGGCCATTGACTGGATAGGATTTGGCTATGCGGCCGTTTTGGCTTTTGGTGGTTTCCTGGGATATTCCCGTAAAGGTGAGTAAATAATGTCCTTAAACCCTGCAGTATTGTGTGTGTGTGTAATTGCAAAGAATTGACAAGAGACTTTTAAATTGTGGGTTTAATTAATGAAAATCAATCATTTAGAACAACTTCATTAGACTCTGCAAAAGACCTATAAAATAGCACGGGTATCCGACTTGGGAGTTAACAACCCTGTTTAGCATAATAACCCCTGCAGTCCTTTTACATGTAATAAATGTACACTTATATGGTATGGTTCACTAAACAAAGGATTGCGGATATAAATTGGGGCATTGTAGTGGAACTGAAATAATTAATACATTCTGCAGATTTTTCAGCTTGTCTATTTTGACCTTAATATTATATTTCTATTGTTCTTTCTTTACAATTCACATTGTGGTGAAAAAATCCAACATTTGTCATTTTATTTAACCTTTCCATGTATAATTACTGGTACGTGTCATGTAACCCTGGTATATTACATTTGGTTTTATTGTTCTGGATTTTATTGTGATTTTCTATTGCAGGAAGTCTTGTGTCATTGATCACGGGTGTCTCTTTTGGCATTGTTGCTGCTTACGGAGCGTATTGTGTTTCATCTAATCCCAGTGACGTCAAGATATCTTTGAGTAAGTAAATTAAATTCCTACAGATTTCAAGTTGTTGTGCAGTGTGTGAAACTCCTTGTGTTTTATGGATTATGCACACATTACGTGAATTTCTCTCGTTTCCCGTTTCTTTACCAGCTCTAAAATGTTTCTTACAAAATTAGATCCGGTACCTTTAGGAAAATATATTTAGACCAAATTAAACTAATCATTTTTAATCTATTTCTATAATTCCTATAGGTACCAAACTTGATATACACAAGTTGCTCATTCACTCTACAGTCACAGGAAAATAATACCATGTTCACACATGTTGGTACATGTTGGTCTTGTAGCCATGGCAACAAACATGTAACACAGTATCACGCAAATGTGAAACGCCTGAGAATTAAAGGGTCACTACAGCCTGGAATCTACCTTAATTATTGTAATATATTTGCATGTTTTTATGCTGTGAAATATTCTCATGAAAATTGTAGTTTCCAACATTGGTTGCAAAATAAATGTATATTTTGTTTCTACAGTTGCATCAATTTCTCTGGCCACGATTATGGGCCTGAGATATAATCGTTCCAGAAAACTAATGCCTGCAGGAATCATTGCAGCGTTAAGGTAAGAATGTTACATTGCTCTCTCTCAATGTTATTTCTCATGTGTCCAGCTCGCAGAACTTGGATGCTGGCTCTTGGTGCGCAGGCTGTACTTGTGCCGAGCGGCAAGAGAAATGTATCTCCCTACTGCCACTCAATGTTTAGTGAGGGAGCTTTCAACTGATAATTTGCTTGTTCAGCTCTATCAATTAAAATATAGAAGAGAAAAACTTAGTGTAAGAAAAATACAGGCAGAATTAAAGATTGTCATTTTACAGGGATACCAAACTTGGAGAAGTGGTTTTGTTGTATAGATCATACCTCTGCCGTCTCACTGCCCAATTTAGGAGTTAATTCAGCCCTAGAAACACCTTGCCTGGCCTCCATGAAAAAAAGGTTTAATTCTACATCTTACTGCACAGTTTGTTTCCTTTAGAAGTTTATAACTCCTGTTTTAAACTTTAAAGAACAGCAGTCACCATATTTTCATTTCTCATTTTTCTGAAAGATCATTAAATTTAATTAAACTTAATTTTGTTTTTAAATTATGTATATTGATTTTTTTGAGAACATTTTACTTTTTAATCCAGATGAGTAGCTATATCTGGTCTGAGTATGGTCTGACCAACTGTTGCTCAACATGTCCTGGTAAGATTAAAGTAGACTATAACCCAACATGTCTACTCAGCAGGATACAAAAAAGTGAAATTTCCTAAAAACAAAACAATCTACATTATATAAAAAACAATAACAATCTAGTTTTCTTAAATATAATGAACATTTGGGGGGAGGGGAAGAAAAAGTGAACATGTGATGACAGTTGTCGTTTAAACAAACAGAGCCTTCTGTAGGCTCTAGAAGAGAACATACAGAGCAGGAGATAAAATAAAAATTCAAAAATTTTCAAACTTTAATAAGAAAAGCTAAAAAATTTAGACTTCTTCTTTTTCAGGAAGTATGTATGGACGTTGTGTGAGTCACAGCCACGTGAAGTATGTATGGGGCTGCATAAACAAAGCGATTTAACTCAATTTCAGAGAATTGAGAAGTGAGACTGCAGATCCATGATCCAGACACCAAAACAACTTAATGAAGCTATAGTGTTTTGACAAAAAAAGTGCTCCTTTAAGTAAGTGAAGGTTGGTGGGTCTTTTTTTAAAACTAACTAGAGACCCAAAGTTGCCTAACAGAATATGTAACAGGGGGGAATTGATCTCAGTGCAAGAATATTAAAGGACCACTATAGTCACCCAGACCACTTAAGCTCAATGAAGTGGTGTGGGTGCCAGGTCCATCTAGGGTTAACCCTGCAGCTGTAAACATAGCAGTCTCCAGAGTTTACATTAAGGTTAATCTTTACATTAGGGTTAACCCAGCCTCTAGTGGGTTAGAGACTTCCGCGCTTCTCATTGTGAAAATCAGTGAGAAGACGCTGACGTCCATAGGAAAGCATTGAGAAATGCTTTCCTATGGATTGATTGAATGCGCGCACGGCTCTTGCGTCGGAAGAGGGAGATTTCCCCAGCGCTGGAGAAAGGTAAGTGATTAACCCCTTCCTCCCCCTTCAGCCCAGCGGGAGTGGGACCCTGAGGGTGGGGGGGGGGGGCTATAGTGCCAGGAAACTGAGTTTGTTTTACTGGCACTGTAGAGGTCCTTTAAGTACCATGTACAAGGAGAAATTCATGTACTAAAATTGAAGCATTCTCCATGGGAGTCAATGATCTGATTGTTTTGTTTTTATAAAATTTGATCTAGAATTGATGCTTTGTATTGAAAATGAATCTTTTTGTATATACATACATTTTCTTGTATGTAATAATTTTGTACTCCATTTCCTACAGCCTTTTCATGGTGGTTAGACTTGGAATGAGTCTTTTCTAAGACAGAAATATCTGATGGATAACATGTCTGCAACCAAGTGTTTCCTGATCTCTGGATAATGCAATTAATTTTTACCTTAAATTTGCACTGAATGTTTAAGGATTTGACAGATCTGTAATGATTTTGAACATTTTGTATTAGACTAATTCTGTATAAAATAATGAGAAGAAATGTATTTTGAATTAATATATCAACATATTAAGCCTTTACATGCAAAACTGTATCACCTAAGATAGTAGTTGGCTCAGTCAAAGTAGGTTGGGTTTTCAAATGAATTTAGCTTGAATAAAAGCACCAGGTAAATAACTTTGGGCCATCAAAGAACTAAACAATTCCGAATCTTTCTGCCTCGTTAGAGTTGTTTTTTTTCACTGTTTCAAGCACTTTTGACTAACGTAGGATAGATCTGTTTTGTGGATGGCTGATAGTGTGTTGTAATAAAAGCCAGTGGGATTAGATGCCAACTTCAGTAACTATCAATCTGAGCACAGTGCCAACTACTATATTAAATATCTTCACCATTGTGATAAAACAGAACAAAAAATGGCATAATATAATACAAAATTGTAAAATAAATCCAAGGCTTTGCAAAATATAATGACATATGTACACAATACTAAGGCTTTCTGGTTTGTTTGTTTTTTACTTTTTTATATTTGTACAAAATTTTAAGGGATTATTTTTCAGAGCAATCTACAATTTTACCTAAATAAAAATTTATGTACATGCACAAACCAATAGCACGTATATTTCATTTCTTTGCATTTGAAATGTAAACTATTTTTGTTTTCGTATTGCTAAAACCTTTTTGGGGATATTAGTAGACATGTAGAGACATGAAGAATAAGTTGCACATTTTCATTTATATGTGTAATTGTTTTGCGGATCACACATGAATCGGTTAATAAAATCTACCTCGTACTGAAAAACGTTAAAGATGATATTTGATGACCCCATGTTAAGAGCACAGTACCATCTTGGCAATCAGTGTTTTCCATTTGCTAATACATTAACACCAATTTTCTCATCTACATCTAAATTTGTGTTTTCCTGTCTTGCAGTTTTTGTTATGTTACATCATACTACAGCTAGCTGGTATTTCATAGTTCTGTGTAATTGTGCCACCACATTGGGGATCTAGCTTTTATTATATCATGCACCATTTGGTTTTTACATATTCTGGTGGCTCAGCTCTGCTTGTCAAGCTCTTTTAAGGACAATAGATTTAGCAAAGTGTGTTTATTGTGGGTTTGTACTTGTTATACAGGTTCTCCCACTTGCAATTAATCCTTTATCCCTAGGTTATTCACTCATGTTGAAATTGGAGGAAAGCTTAAGGTTGTTGTAATTTACTGTGTAATTAGCTGTAACTTAGCTGTAAGTTTGTGGGTGCATCGCATATGTCAAGTCAGGGCTTGACAAATTTGCTTTGCTTCTAGGAGCCAGTTTGTTTTTTCCACTGACAAAAATGCAGTTTTAAGAGGGACACTATAATCACCAGAACCACTATAGCTTAATGTAGTTGCTCTGCTGGCTATAGCATGTTCCTGCATGATTTTCAATGTAAACACTGCCTTTTTTTCAGAGAATGTGCAACATCTTCATTCAACGTCTCCACACTCTGCATGGAGGCGCTGAACGTTCCCCATAGGGTTGAAAGGATTTAATATATCTCTATGAGGAGATGCTGATTGGTGCAGCATTTTGCCTCAGATGCTCAACAGCTTCCCAATGTTTTCCTATAGGAAAGCATTTTATTGGCTGAGATCTTCAAGATTGATAATCTCAGCTATGGAGGCATGCCAGCCGTGACGAGATGGGCATACCGTTTGGGGAAAATGGTAAGTAGAAACACCATTTCCATGCGATCGGAGGGGAGCTGGTGACCTATACATACATATTCACTGACCGACAGACACACACTTACACAAACACACACATACAGCCATATGTAAACACAAGACATATGTACAGACACATTCTCTCTCACACACACTAACAAACTATTTTTTATTATTTGTATACACTCAAGTAGATACACACACAAAGATCCATAGATAAACACAGACAAAAATACACATACACACATGAAATATATACACAAACAGAAAAAAAATACATATTTTAACCACTCTAACGTCTGGGATTTGTCAAGTGGTGCAACACTCTAAGCACCAAACATTAAAGAAGTGTTTTTGGTGTATAAATCATGCAACTGCAGTCTCACTGCTCAGTTCTGTGCCATTTAGGAGTTAAACTTTTTTTTTATGCAGTGTTAGCCACACTTCCCCTGACTCACGCAGCCACCCTAAACACTTACTGAAATCTTTTTTAATTTCTTTAGCTATATTTCACAGGGTGTTTAATTTAGATGTGCTTATCTACACTCTGACAATAGACTGCTAGAGCCTACAGAAGTTTTATTTGTGTGATTAAAATTAAGTTAACAGCAGGATATGAGAACTGCTAAAGTAAACACACTATGCTGTAAGAGCTGATTAAACATGAAACCATTTTTTCATGGAGGCCATGTGACTCACAGCCGAGGGATGTGTGGCTAGGCCTGCATAAAGAGAAATAAAAATGGTTTATCTCCTAAATGAAAGTTTTGAGCAGTGAGACTGCAGAGGCATGATATAGACCTCAAAACTGCATCATTAAGCTAAAAGTTGTTTAGAGTGTCCCTTTGAGTTATTTCATGATGCACTTTACTTTGTATCAATGTTGTCCCTCCAGTTAAAATTCACTTTGAACTCATGAACATTTACACTTTAGTGCAGGGGTAGGCAACCTATCCTAGTGCATGCTTTTACAGTGCACAAGAACATTGTTTATCTGACATAAGTCTATGCAGTTCCATACTGAGTGCCAATTCACAGCTATTCATACTGGAATGATCTGATGTGCATGTGCCCATCCAGTAAGCAGTGACACTAACCATAAGGCTTGATCTGCAGAGTATGGAACTGGACTTCACTTACTCTGAGAACTTTAACAATGAGAGACCTTCGGTATTCAATGTCATGCTTACAAGTGGACTAGTTATAGTCCCCTTTATTGACTAAACAAGCTTTTCATATTTAAGGTCAAAATACCCGTTACTGTTTGTGACGTAACGTACCCGTCCTTTCAACTATTCCTTTTTTGCATATGTTTGGCTGTTATTGTACCTGAACCCACTTTATTCGACTCCCGAACGAGGAGCACACCTGTACCTCATTAGAACCTTAACACCAGTTAACCTAAGTAACCGCAAGGTAAATACCTGATGAGTGCTTCCCGAGTGGCTGCCATTTCATGTAACCGAATCGGATGCACGTGGTCGACAAAAGGATGGCGGCCATTTTGTCTCCCGAACGCAGTCAGCGGTACTTGGTCGTCGAGTGACTGGAAGTCTTTTGGGCTATGCACTTGCACAAATCCCGGAAAAGATTGTACCCCTGCCGGTCCCATTTCCCAACCAGCTATCGAACAATGTTCAGGAGATTGGAACTACTGACTGGGGGGAGCATTCACTCCCTGAAACCAAGGGAATATCTTATATGGTTTTCGCACAGGATCCCCCGAATGGAGACAGAATGTTGCACCCGTTTTCCTGGAACTATATTGGGCTATCACCTCATGGCTGGCCGCTCAGAACTTTACCCCGGTGGAGATTCTATTTTACCCAACCGATCTGAGCGGCTTTTTGACCAAGTTGGGCGCTCAGATCAGGGCTATACGGGGATATGACTCTTGTGGGGATCCTGTTAATATTGGGGGACTTTTGGGATGTTGTATAAATACTATGTATGTTTCCCTGTAACTGAGAGATAAATTGAGTTATAGTTTCTGACTCAATTATATCCCAGACACAGGGACGCCAGAGAGTGGCTTGCTATGTTTCTGTATGGAGACTCTTTGCTGGGGGCCTGTGTATAAACTGAGAGTATTTGGCCTGAATAAACCAGATGACTCCCAGAACTATGTCTCGTCTAGTTACTGGGGGGATACAAGCTTAAACACACAACAGTTCAAGTCTGGCTGAGAGGAGAACTAGCGGAGGTAACCAATCGGGTTACCCGGAGTCCGCTACACTGTTTTCTAGGAGCTCCATATTGTTGGTGAGTCTGCATGTATAACAGAACTGAGTGACAGGCAATAGAGTATATTCAAAGCTTGGGCTTGTCACCTGTGGGGTACCTCAGGGATCTGTACTTGGACCCATTCTCTTTAATATTTTTATTAGTGATATTGCAGGTCTTGATGGTAAGGTATGTCTTTTTGCTGATGACACTAAGATATGTAACAGGGTTGATGTTCCAGGAGGGATAAGCCAAATGGCAAATGATTTAGGTAAACTAGAAAAATAGTCAGAATTGTGGCAACTGACATTTAATGTGGATAAGTGCAAGATAATGCATCTTGGACTTAAAAATCCAAGGGCAGAGTACAGAATATTTGATAGAGTCCTAACCTCAACATCTGAGGAAAGGGATTTAGGGGTGATTATTTCTGATGACTTAAAGGTAGGCAGACAATGTAATAGAGCAGCAGGTAATGCTAGCAGAATGCTTGGTAGTATAGGAAGAGATATTAGCAGTAGAAAGAGAGAAGTACTCATGCCATTGTACAGAACACTGGTGAGACCTCACTTGGAGTATTGTACGCAGTACTGGAGACCGTATCTTCAGAAGGATATTGATACTTTAGAGAAAGTTCAGAGAAGGGCTACTAAACTGGTTCATGGATTGCAGGATAACACTTACCAGGAAAGGTTAAAGGATCTTAACATGTATAGCCTGGAGAAAAGGGGGGATATGATAGAAACATTTAAATACATTAAGGGAATCAACACAGTAAAAGAGGAGACCATATTTAAAAGAAGGAAAACTACCACAATAAGAGGACATAGTCTTAAATTAGAGGGGCAAAGGTTTAAAAATAATATCAGGAAGTATTACTTTACTGAGAGGGTAGTGGATGCATGGAATAGCCTTCTAGCTGAAGTGGTAGAGGTTAACACAGTAAAGGAGTTTAAGCACGCGTGGGATAGTCATAAGGCCATCCTAACTATAAGATAAGGCTAATTAAAAGTATTTTGAAATATTGGGCAGACTAGATGGGCCAAATGGTTCTTATCTGCCGTCACATTCTATGTTTCTAACTACACAATAATACTCACAGTAATGTGTCTTTCAACTACAATAAATGTGTTTAGAAATTCAGTCTTTGTAAATCAAATACATTATTCTTGTTCTAAATTATATTTTAGTTGCATAAATTGTTAGTCAGTTGTATAAAATGTTAGTCAGTCAAAATTTCTCAGAAGAGCCTCGCATCTGGCCACACTCCTACTGACCCCCCTTATTAGGTGAATAAGGCATTCGCCTGGGGCGCCGGCCACGAGAGGTTTCCTGGTGGGCTGCCCTGCTACTGCTGTCTGGGGATGCTGTGCTGGGCGAGCGGCTCCTTAGCCACCCCCCGGCGCAGCCATTCAGCTGCTGGGCTCTGATTACCTGCTCAGTGCGCGGGGTTTACTGTAACCTCAACACCCGAGCAGAGAACTGTGAACACCGGAAGCACAGTGAAGGGAGCAGCATGTTTCTGCATCTTCACAGCACTTAGGTATGGCATGTTTAAGGGGGATTGCTTATTGTGTGCATGTTTGTAAATTTAAATTGATGTGTGTGTTAAATTGCTGTGTTTGTGTGTGTTAGTGAGAGTGTGCAAGTGACTGTGTGTGTGTGTGTGTGTGTTAGTGAGAGTGTGCAAGTGACTCTGGGTGTGTGTATTAATGAGCGTGTGCAAGTGACTCTGAGTGTGTGTGTGTTAGGGAGAGTGTGCAAGTGACACTGTGTTAGTATGTGTAAGTGACACAGTGTTTGTGTGAGTGTGCAAGTGACACACTGTGTGGTGTAAGAGTGTGTAACTGACAATGTGTATTTGGTGAGAGTGTGTAAGTGACACTGTGTATGTCAATGAGAGAGTGTGTGTATTAGTGAGAGTGTGTAGGTGACACTGTGTATGTCAGTGAGAGTGTGCAAGTGACAATGTGTAGGTCAGAATGTGTATGTGTTAGTGTGCAAGTTAGAATTAGAATGTGTAAGTGTGTAGGCCAGTGAGAGAGTGTGTGTACTAGTGAGATTGTGTAAGTGACACTGCAAAGGTAATTATTGCAATTTTTAAGAAACTGCAATAATTACCATTCAGGGTTAACTCCTCTAGTGGCTATGCATGGAGACGTCCAGCATCACGGAGCGTGGCCATTGTGAAGCAAAGGCAGACCCAAGCCAGCACGAAAGACATTAGTGCTGGACCCAGGTAAGGGACAGAAGGGGTTTTAACCCCTTCTGCACCATGGCGGGGGACGGGGGTGCGCTTGACAGATGGGTCTAAAAACACTTTAGACACAACGGGGTAATCCCTAAATCCCGGACTGATAGGGGATACTTGAAGACTGTGTTGGGAACCACTGGTCTAAATTCATATGATAAAATGTTTTGGTAATTCCATCCTGCACAGCAAACCATATTGATGACCTGCTGTGATTGAATTACTGCCTCTAGCAGTCCATTGTACATGCAGTGTAGACATTCCCTCATAAAAAAACCCAGAAGGAGCAGAAAAATCAGTCATGATTTGATCTCCCAGAAATAAGCCAGTACCTTGCATTGAATACTGCTTAGGAGAATAAAGGAAGTGATGAGAGGAATGACACACCAATCATGAGCTATACTTGAACGGGTGTGGTTGTATCACTATATGTAAAGTTGGCGATAGAAACCTAACATAGTACAGGGTAATGGATTGCCATGTAATACTGTTGTCCAGTCACAGATCAGGAAAATAGAAGTTAGCGTATTCAAGTACCTTGCAAAAAAAAAATCACTTGGTCAGTATGCAAAAGATTGGACAGGAAGGGGGGGACCATTAAATCAATAAATTAATTAGTTAGCAGAATTACCAACCATACAAGGGCATCGAGTAGAGCAGGGATAGGCAACCTTCGGCACTCCAGATGTTTTGGACTACATCCCCCATAATGCTCTTACACCCGTAATGCTGGCAAAGCATCATGGGAGGTGTAGTCCAAAACATCTGGAGTGCAGAAGGTTGCCTATGCCTGGAGTAGAGAGTATAGGAGGCATATACCGTCTACACAGCTATGTAGACTATGTCTGTTTGTAAGGAACCTCAGTCTTGATACCTCAGTACTAGTGATGTCCAGAACGGTTCGCCGCGGACTCATCATTGAGTAAACTTTGACCCTGTACCTCACAGTCAGCAGACACATTCCAGCCAATCAGCAGCAGACCCTCCCTCCCAGAGCCTCCTGGACAGCTCACTAAGAATGCAGCTTCAAAATGGATGCTGTCTGGGAGGGAGGGTCTGCTGCTGATTGGCTGGAATGTGTCTGCTGACTGTGAGGTACAGGGTCAAAGTTTACTCAATGAAGAGTCCGCGATGAACCGTTCGGCGAACCGTTCGCGACATCACTACTCAGTACACGTTAAGGATGATGCCATCTTAAATGGGGTCCAGAGTCATACAAAATGGAGGGATTTTATTTTACAGCCATAATGTGACAGGGTGGCATTTATTAACCTTACATTTTGTCAGTCAGGCCAATGAAGCAGTCGTGTGTAATGTTTTATTGTATTCATTTTCCGATATAATTCCCCATACACAGCAAACACTGATCGCACTTTGGCCCCTAGCAGTAGTATTCCCAACCTAGTCTAAAGTCAAATCATTTAACATCTAAGTTAAGTGGCTCAGCAGTTAAGTCAAACATTATGCACAATGTCTGATTAAGGGATTATTCTACGTGAGCATGCGCACACATCCTTATCCATGTATTATCTCAAAATACATCTGTACATAGGACAACCAAACTGCTAGGGGCCAGTATAGATATTCATTGAATTTAGCACAAGCCTGCAAAGATACACTATAAGCACTGCCACATGAGCGCTTTAAGTGTTGAGTTGTTTCTTGTTACTTCCCCCCTCCCCTCCCCCCCTCTGTTTTTAATCTTTCAGGTATTGTACCAGAGGATTGGAGGAAGGCAAATGTGGTTCCTGTATTCAAAAGGGGTTTTAAATATTTGCCCTGAAATTATACACCTGCGAGTTTAATTTCTGTGGTTGGGAAAGTATTTGAAAGGTTATTAAGGGATAATATTCAAGAATTCATTTGGAAGAACATTGTTAGTAGCCAAACTCCGCATGGTTTTATGAAATATAGGTCATGTCAAGCAAACTTAATTGTATAATACAAAGAAGTAAGTAGAAGTATAGATCAGGGTGTTACAGTGGATGTGATCTACTTAGATTTTGCAAAGGTGTTTTGTACGGTTCCACACAATAAGTGTAGATTGGGGGACTGGGAACTCAAATGACAGATCACATTTAATGTAGATAAATGCAAAGTTATACACTTTAGGATAAAGAACACACAAACAACTTACACCCTAAACGGTAGGGAACTAGGGAATTGTTATAGACAACAAACTAGGGAACAATGTGCAATGTCAATCAGCAGTTGGTAAGGCCAGTAAGGTGTCATGTATAAAAAGAGGCATTGATTTTCCTGTTTAAAATATAATTTTGCCTCTTTAAGACCAAATATTGGATATGCTGTGCAATTTTGAGCACCTGTTCTAAAGAAGGAAATAATGGCACTAGAAAAAGTGCAGAGATGGGCTACAAATAAAAAGAATGTAACATTTGAGTTATGAAGAAAGGTTAACTAACCTTTAAACTGGAAGAAAGTAGATTTAGTCTAAGGCAAATAAAAAAAATATTTTTGTGAAGTTCTTTGCCTAAAGAGGTGGTTTTATCATAGTCTATACACATGTTTAAACAGCAACTGAATGAACATAGAAACATAGAATGTGACGGCAGATAAGAACCATTCGGCCCATCTAGTCTGCCCAATTTTCTAAATACTTTCATTAGTCCCTGGCCTTATCTTATAGTTAGGATAGGCCTTATGCCTATCCCACACATGCTTAAACTTCTTTACTGTGTTAACCTCTACCACTTCAGCTGGAAGGCTATTCAATGCATCCACTACCCTCTCAGTAAAGTAATACTTCCTGATATTATTTTTAAACCTATGTCCCTCTAATTTAAGACTATGTCCTCTTGTTGTGGTAGTTTTTCTTCTTTTAAATATAGTCTCCTCCTTTACTGTGTTGATTCCCTTTATATATTTAAATGTTTGTATCATATCCCCCCTGTCTCGTCTTTCCTCCAAGCTATACATGTTAAGATCCTTTAACCTTTCCTGGTAAGTTTGAATGAATACTTGCAAAAACGTAATATTCAGGGATGTAATTTTTAATTTGTCGGGTAACAGCTTCTTGATCGAAGGAGAAATCTGACTGCCATTCTGAGATCAAGTAGAATTTCTTTCCTAGTTTGTTGCAAAATTGTGAAGCACTTCTAACAGTTTTTTCCCTTCTTTTGGATCAGTCATATGTGATAAAGGCTGAACTTGATACATGTCTCTTTTCAGCTATGTAACTATGTATTTGTACTGAAAAAAAGGTTATTGGCCAACTGGAAATTCCACCAATTTATATAAACCGAGATAGTGTTATCTTTATTTTATTGTAAAACCTTCCATTCTACATCAAAATACATTCTATTCGCTCTTTAGGTTACTACATTCATGTTCCATCTACAATCATAATAATGCATGGTTGATGCCAGTCTTCTGTATTTAAAACTGAAGGACTTCTCTCACAGTTGCTATATACTCTGCATCAGCCATAGGCTTCTTCTGACTTCCAGGCTGCAAGAATTTCTTAATTGTTGAGATCTCACTTGTTCTTTCTTTGAAATCCTAGAAATGGCACAAATGCAATGTTGCTTAGGTTGTGGATCAAACTTACCATATATTCACCCTGTGACAATACAATACATATAGCAATTTCCCACAATTACTACAAGGGAACCTGTGTTAATCTTCCTAATGTGGTGTTTTAATTCTTTTAGTTTAGTCCAGGACAGCCAGGGTGCACACTGTATTGGAGACACAGAAGCTTTAAGAGGTATTGATCAACGTGTCCTGTTCTGAAAAGGAGGTGCAAAGTTCGTAAAAACGGGCAATCATCATGGAAACAAGTGGAATTAGAAGGCACATTGCATGAGTGGCTGTTCTACTTTTACAGCTTTGTACCAGAATATGACATTTTTATAAATCTCCCCCAATGTTTTTGTTTCTCCTCATCTTCTCTATGATGACAGAGTTTATAACAATGACTGACAGAGAAACAAGATGGAGACATTCAGTACTAGGATACAGCTGACACCAGATGATAGTGTTGGACGATGGATGATGAGGTGACTGAGGGTAAATTGGGGGTCACAATGGCAGTGCTGTGTGATTTGACATGTCTGCAAACAATTCTTGATATTATTCCTCTTTACAAGGATCTCAGTAATCTAAGCTAGGATTGAATGATTAAGGCTATTCTACTGTCCTGCTGCCCTAGCAAGCATTCAAAAGCCAGCATGTTGACATCTTTAGGGAGGACACTTAACCTTAATGTATAAATAAGAATGATATAATTCTAGCTACATAATGGTAAATTCCCATTTGTATATACCTATTTTAAAACTCTTAAAAAAAACTTGCTAACAGCTTCAGCAATATGAGACGTAACTTTGAAAGGGGTAGAAGAAGTATTACTTAGTAAATGGCTCATGCATGCTGCTTGCAAAACAGGTTTTTAAGCAGGAAGTTGGCAATGCATTGTATAACAGTTCATAACATTGGGCACTTTTTAAAATCAGATATACTCAAGCACGATATATTCTACAGATTTTTTTTATGAACAAAATATATTCTCTCAAAATATACTTGCTGTATACATGCTGAAAAATCTCTTTATTAACACTTGCATGTGAAAAAGTCATTAATAGTTATTGTTAAACAAGGGCGGTTGATTACCAATTACAAACTAAGGTTACTCCCAAGACGCTCAAACCAATAAGAGCATTAAAATGCAACTTTAGATCAAGCCCTTTACTTGTATTGGCATTAATCCTTAAGGGTTTGGTTTAAAGTGCCAAATGAAAAGCTACCAGTATATCAAAAATCAAATCAGGTTGATCAAACCAATTAAGAAGCACGATACTGTTACAGGAAAGTACATTTAAGAAATATTAAACTGCTATAGATTTGACAGAAACACGCAGACACATTGTGTTTGTGCCCACATTACCTGCAGCCGAGGGAAAATAGGAACAATGTCATCGTGGACCTCCTCCATCATTAAAATCGTCTCCAGCAGTACTACATCTGCCCAGCTCAACTGGTTTCCAACCAAAAAATCCTGGTCTTTTAAAGCCTACAAAACATAATTATTTAGCTCCAAATGATACATATATATATATATATATACACATATATATATACATATATATACATACACATATACATACACATACACATATATATATATATATATATATATATATATACATATATATATATATATATATATATATACACATACACACACACACATACACACATATACATATACATACACACACAATATTCTTAATATTCCACCTTAAGCAGATGTAAAAACAAACATGAATGGTGAACACCATTTTTTTCTGAAAGTGAAACAATTATACAAAACACAAGTACAGGTGATCATGAATAGCATGAATATTATTCACCAAGGATAGATTTCCAGATCTGAAAGATTTGGTTAAAATTAAATGAGGTTGTAATTTGGTTATTTGTCTCATGCAGCAGGGGCAAAGGAGGTTGGTCTGGGCCTGAGCAAGTTTTTAGCTGAATCTTAATTAAAAGATCTCAAAAATATTGTCCGTCACCCATGTGTAAATCAATCCCCAGCATAGACTTCTATACACTGACAGTATGCAGGTCTGTGCTGAGAACGGAGTGGAGTGGCAGTCTCTCCTATGGGCAGTTCCCCTGCTTATTTGCTTAACTAGATAGAGGAATTATTGCTCTAGTAAACAACCCTGTTGGTTTTAAATTCACCACAATACACTGTTTAGTGATTAAACCATTATAGGTTCCAACCCCATTTTGAAGGAACACTATAGTGTCCCTCTGCCTCAATGCCCCCCACTCCCACCCTGGTCACAAGGGGTTAAAAACCCTTTCTTTCACTTACCTAATTCCAGCATGGGATCGGGCTCTCCTCTGCCAACATCATGGCGATCTAGAAACCTAGTGAACATGCACGGCGAGTGAAACAATGCTTTCCTTTGGGCATTTGAAAGACTCTGGATGTCCTCATGCAAAGAGTGAGGACATCGAGCATCGTTTCATGAAGTTAAACTCTGTGAAACTTCATGAAGCATCTCTAGTGGCTGTTTGGAAGAGAGTCTTAAACCTGCAACAAAAGCATTGCAATTTCTCAAAAAAGTCAAAGTTTTACACTGCAGGAAGAATGTGGAAAAGGACACTGCTCCCAGACCACTTCATTGAGATGAAGTGCTCTGGGTGCCTAAATTGTCCTTTTAAGCATCCTGATTTCTTGCATATATACCACAGGGGAGCCTTCTAATTAAAACGTATAACAACATGCCCTGTGTTCAAAAAGTTAGAAACGATTACCATACTTTTTCAAACACAGGGAAGTATCGGTTCACTGCTCTCTTTTTTGCAAGTTCCAACTGTTTTCCCTTTTCAGATTCAGGCATGAAGAAATGAGAAAGGATCAGTGCCATGAGGTCAAAGGCTCCATCTACATACATGTCAATACTGCAAAAAAAAAAAAAAGATTCCCAAAAACAATGTTAATGCATATAATATATAACATAACCATTTATTTATAACCTGTCTGTAGATTGTTTTTTCTTATTTTTACATCAGTACATTGTGGATTGTTTATATTTCTTTTTAGAACAGCATATTTCTAAGCAGTACTAACTACGGTGATCCCTGTAAGTCTATGAAGTCTCTTGTAGTCTTGTAGGATCCTCCGCACATCATTATTGCACTCCTGCGCATGCCCCAGAGTACAGCACTGCCGCATGAGGAGCTGAAGACCAGAGATGGCGGTGCCCACAAGAGACGACGTCAGGAAAGTATAAACTACCTTCCTCTGTACCCTGAGACTCCACACCCGAAGCAGGGGTGTCAAGTTAGGTGTCAGGATCCTATCCTGACAACTAAGACTTATATTACTTTTATTCTGTTCCTTTAAAACCAAGGTTCTGCACTCATATATTTTTACTAGTGTTCTCTCCCTTGCCTCTAGTTCTGGAAACTCACTTTATCATCCTCATCTGCTACACCCAACTCACCACATGGCCTTTACATTGAAGTTGTTGATTTGCCTGAAACACTTCAGATCCTGGCTCCTGTGGACTTACCTTCTTGGCTTCAAACCTGCTCCATACCAACCTAAACAACTCTGCATTCCTGCTTCATTTACTTACCTGCTCCATACCAACCTAAACAACTCTGCATTCCTGCTTCATTTACTTACCTGCTCCATACCAGCCTGAACAACTCTGAATTCCTGCTTCATTTACTTACCTGCTCCATACCAGCCTGCATTCCTGCTTGACTTCCAACCCGAACTTCACAACTATCCAGCTTTATTCTGCCATCCTGATTTATACCTGCTTAATCCATACAGCCTCTCTGCCCTATAACCATAACACTCGATTTATGAGTATCCTTTGGAAAACTAATAACCAAACAATAATGAATGTAACTAAATGCTATACAAAATAAAAAATAGAAATAAACACCATAGAGATACTATAGAACAATCAGATGGAAGAATAGGTGCCAAGTGGCTTGCCTCCTATCCTAGAGTCTCTAAAATAGTCGCTGAAATTCACAGACTTAGACTTTAACATAGTCCATAGTGGTCAATGTCTGCAATTGATATCAGCTACACATGAAAATACAAGGAGACTGTAGGAATATACTTATAAAGCTTAATTAGAAGAACACCATCCCTGTATAGCTAAACTCTGAATATTTAAATCGATACATTTAAACAGTAGAGAGTATCAATATAGCGATATTAATGTAAATAAACACTTATATATTAAGTAACCACATGCTATACAGGGATAGTGTTCTTCTAATTAAGCTTTATAGCACTGATCATTATTTATCTCTAATAGCCATCCTTGTAATAGGGAAGTATTAGTACTCTGATACAGCCTGATATTTTGCTCGAAATAAAAAAAAAAAAAAAATTCTAAGTAATTTATATATTTTTTACCTCACTATTAAGTGATGCAAGTTATTATAAATTTTACATTACTTTTAGTATATTCCTACATTCTCCTTGTATTTTCATGTGTAGCTGATATAAATTGCAGACATTGACCACTATGGATTATATTAAAGTCTAAGTCTGCAAATTTCAGCGACTATTTTAGAGACTCTAGGATAGGAGGCAAGCCACTTGGCACCTATTCTTCCATCTGATCGTTCTATAGTATCTCTATGGTGTTTATTTCTATTTATTATTTTGTATAGCATTTAGTTACATTCATTATTGTTTGGTTATTAGTTTTCCAGAGGATACTCATAAATTGAGTGTATTATAGTTCTCTTTATTAGGGGTCAAGCCCCAAGACACTTCTGGAGTGTCTTTTAAGGTGTGATTTTTCTACAGGCTGTAGTGGATTAGTCCGGTTTTTGACAGCCACCACCTGTAGATGCTTTTTTCTTTTTGTATATCTCTCTGCCCTATAACTGCCTGCATAACACCACTCTGGACTTTGCCTCAAAGTAATATTACATGGTGTTATTTTCCTACTTGAGCAATACTCCTTCAAATAGGGGGCTTACACTAAAGTTCTCCTTTTCCTGTAATTCTGCAACCTTATTGTCCTGCTCTATTTTATTTGTCCTATTTTAACCTATACTTTTATCTATAGGTTTTCGTATTATGCATTCCTGTTTATATTCTATTTAGGGCATGTTGCCTAATTCCCTTTATTTCTGTTTTCTCTCTCTTTCCTATAATTTCACTTATCAGACATCCTGTTTATTCTTTTATGTCCAAATCCAGCAATAAAGACCCTATTGGTAACTCTGGCCAAAGTCTCATATCTGACCTGCTCAGAATCATGACATTAGGGGATCATTGTCAAATATGCAAACACCACTGAAGATGACAGAGCTGCTTTAAGAGCCATTTTCATTCACCCACTGTAAATGTTCGCTTACACCTCCTGTCACTCGAGCTAATAATATTTTACTATGTTCAGAAAGCAGGCTCCTGCTGTCATTTCGAGGAAAGTTAGCAGTACTTCCTGTGTGAAATTGACTATATATTGGACACTGCTGCTTTACAGTCATTTCCTGGCAAAATTTGCAACTGATTGTTCTACCACGTTCCTCTAAATGGCCACATTTTCTAACATTTGAAATATGTGTACCAATTGCAGAAAACAGGATGGTTTAAAGAAAGGCTCAATATATTGTAATAAATGCATACACTACTCGCTCCTTTAGGTTCTTCCCATACATATTGTATTTTGAAGCAATATATTGCAAAATGGCTTTAGTCTGTGAGATCTTCATTCCGTCCATTTCCACCATTGGGAGTTGTTGAAACAACAAAGATCCATCTACAAAATGTAAATAGATGCAAAATTAAAGCATGGCATATTCATAGTCCCCTTTTGGCATATGCTTAATTTACCCCATACCCCCCAAAATACGTGGACACCTTGTAAATTAATATCACAGCTTTAATGATATAAAGGTAACATAAAATTGTAAGGTCATTGTCAACACAATACATAATACAATATTAACCCCATTCCTTTAACATTGCTACCCCGACAATGACCCACATAAACAATCATTGATACCACCTATAACATATAAATAAACATAAAACATAAACCATTGCCACTGATGGCATGATTTTCCAGCTTTCACAATGTAGGGGTATACCAAGATACACCCTACAAACACCAGGTTCGGAGCTACCAATGAGCTCGACCCTACCAATACCATTCCAAACTTAACTGTTCTTAGCGAACTAAAACTAACAGACCTATGAACAAATTACCTGCTCCCCAACTTTTCTATCCATCCCCCGTCACCACAACAGGTAAGTGAGGTTTAAGTAAGATGGCCCCTAATATAAAATGGCCCCCTATATATACTTACCCAAAATCCCACCCCCAATATCCACATAGCCAATCCATACATACCCCTATTCTATGCCTGTCTCCCAGCAATGTCAAGGCCCATTCCCCTTAGCTGCGCTGCTCCATGGGCTACAAAACTGTCACTTTACAGATTTATTTTTTTTAAATAATCTTTTTTGTCCTATTTCTAATTTTTCTCCTTTTTTTTTTTTTATTCACTTTAGTTTTTAGAAAAAAAGGAACCTTAGTCAAAGGGCAGTAAAATATGCAATCTTCACATTGGTGTGCACAACAGTTTACATAGGGAAGTGCCCCCTGAACACATTTATAAACTTTATGTAAAAATACTAATTTTAATAATAGGGTGCAAAATATTTTTTGCTATAGCGATACTTGGGTGTATATATATAAAATACAGAATCCAGCGCACTAGCTTATTCACTAAACAATGATTCCAAATCTTAGAGATTGTAGTAGTTTTATTTAAAAACACCTCATCTAGGCAAAAAATAATGGGGGTTTAGTTACATTATATGATCATATATTGCATAAGCCTGCCACAACATCAATGTACCTCATTCTTGGCAGGTCCTACTCTAGCAGCCTAATGCTTGCTCTTATGAGATTAATCCACTTACTTGGGAAATACTTTCTTACTGGGACTCTCTGTCAAGGCTAAATAGGGTCCTGGAATGAGGCACCTGTGACAGGGAGGGGTGCAAAACCAAGTAGTTGACCTGGACTCCCAAATATATAAATGAAACCAAGAAGGCTGCACTCACCTGAACATGCATTCATTAAAGGGTGCTGCTGGGGCCAAAATATACAAAATACACAATCCAGCGCACTCGAGAGAGCAAGCATTAGGCTGCTAGAGTAGGACCTACCAAGAATGGGGTACACTGACATTGTGGCAGGCTTATTCAATATATTATCATATAATGTAACTAAACCCCTATTATTTTTTGCCTAGGTGAGGTGTTTTTAAATAAAACTATTACAATCTCTAAAATTTGAAATCATTGTTTAGTGAATAAGCGAGTGCGCTGGATTCTGTATTTTGTATAACTTTGCCCCCAGCAGCACCCTATAATGTATGCATGTTCAGGTGAGTGCAGCCCTCTTGGTTTTATATATATATAGTCTGAAAATTTATGTTTTACCTAAATCTAGAATCTTCCCCAAGTTTGTGAAATTCAGAAACAAATTGCTGAAATGTCACTTAAAACTGTGATTTATGTATTTATTAAGTAGCGTATTTTTTTCCTACATGTAACTGGACGCAAAAGATTGGCATTTGCTAAATAAATAAACCCTAGCAAAACATATAGCTAAATACAAAATACTACTGTGTCTTTATGTTCCTACTTATAACATTTTGTTTATTAATTTTTAAAAAAGCATGACTGATTTATCTGTCTCCACCAAAATGCCTCAGGCTAGCTGAGCAGCAAACGCTATTTATCTACTGTCAGCATGTTTTCTGTTAAACAAGTTCAGGGCGTTCTACATTAGGTCACACATTTAATTCATTCTAACGTTCACTTTACCATTTCTTCTCCTGTTTTACACATCTATGTCAATCTACCTATCTCAGGGGTAGAATGAACATGAGGTAATCGCAGAATAATATGATCTAGTTTAGACTAATGCTGCAATACAAGAAACAAAACAAGTGGTATATATATATAATAGTGATAGAATGCTCTAAACACCTGTGTGGTATCCCCTATACCAACACAGAAAATACATATAATACGAACACAATAGGTGGGGCAATATGTATACTTTCCTCTCTGCACTATTGTGTATCCCTCTGTTTTTTCAGCATTGTTCAACCGATTGAATAAGAGAGGAAAGTATACATATTGCTCCACCTATTGTGTTCATATTATAATGCTGCAATACTTCTGGGAACCCGCGCAGTAAACAGCTGTAAAGCATCTGTAATCTTTAACTGCCCCACCGCTGCACGTTCACATATTTCAATATAGGAGAGGAGTATTGTGACGGACCGCCTGGCACTCCGACCAGTTACCTCTGTCAATCGCTGCTTTCTAGTACTGGCGAGTAGCATAAGCACTGCACTGGAACACCATAACCACCGTAAACCCAACAAACCGCCGCAGCTTGGTTGGAGTCTCGCCGTTCTCCACCCACCCTGAACCCAAGACCAGGATTCAGCTTCCAGTGGGTAGGCCTCTCTTAGTTCAGAGAGTATAGCAGGAACAGCTCTTATAAGAGCTAGTGATTATACTCCGGGGAGTATAGTGATTATAGCAATCCGCAGAGTGAATGTAGTTCTCCAATCCCCCATACATGAGCCAAGACTTCATAAAGGTGCAAGATGATCTGAGAGTTTAATGGTACAGATTGGATTTTTAGGCCAGGGGAACACCCAATGGACCTGATGGGGCACAGGACACAAATTGTACAGAACAATAGAAACAATGTAACAATGCCTGACACTCCCACATACAGCACACAATCCCTCCCCTCTGCCTGTGATACAATTAAGGTAGATAATGTATTAACGTAATTATCCCCAAGCATAAAAAACACATATTTTACAAAGTCTCATAAGTACCCCAAAATACAGCATATCCCCTGATAGCCCTGATCTGAGTGAACAACATATCCAAAAATTACCCAGATCAGAGCAGGGGTTCAAAAGTCTCTTTTTGACCGGCCACAAGCATGGCTTCATGCCCAGAGAATTAGGCTGTGTGGCTGGTCTATTTCCAATGATTAAAGTGTACTTCAAATAGTCGAACGGGACCGCTCGTACAAAGTCAGTGTTGAAGTGTGTTCGGTAGATTATTTCTACCAAATGGCGCTCTGTTCATGCATATTTAGCCGAACATAGATGGAGATGGAAGTCCCAGTGGTGTTCGTGCCGTTGAGTGTCTGATTTCCGTTCCATGAACTCAACGGCAAAACACCACTGACCACATTCGATTAAACAAGATGGCCGCCGCCACGTGTTCAACTATACGAATGGCGACCACCCAGCCGCTCGTCAATTAAGCTGTGGTTAACCACAGCTTCTGGGAGGTTAACACTGCACACTCAACTTGCGGGTGGTCCGGCTGTTTGATAGTTTGTTCGGTAAACGAACACCATAAACCTAATCTATTCAGTAAGCTCCATATACTGCACCATAGAAGGGAAAAGGAACGAACAGGGTTTTTAGCCCCAAAGTTCACCACAGGGCCATAGTTACAGGGCAAGAGGCTGGCAAGCAGGCCTCTCCAAATCCCAGTGACAAAGGTGCTTTCATCACAAGTATATATGACAATTTGTCAAGTTGTCCTCAAACAGCATGTCAGCTTGTAACCTTTGCCTTCCAGCATTGCCGCCTGACGCCGATCACAAGGCCTTGGTATTAGTAAATATGCCACATACACCATTACACTTGTTGTTGGATGTATTTCTAGTATAACACCAATATAATGATCACCCCATTATTAGTGTTTTTAGGTTGTATCAGAAACATGTGAAAGAGTCATCTTTACCTATTTAATACCGTCAGTAATGGCAATAATCAGCCATCCCCTTGGTGTATTATCAATAAATTAGGGAGAACTGCATGTCCTCTATAGTTGGACACTACATTTGTGAAGCATACAGGGTAGAAAAACATCTGTTGTGCTTTCTAAGAAAAAAAAAATCTATTTAGGATTAAGTGTAATCAAGTTGATTTGAATTATGCAAACATAGAGGTTGTATATGAACTTTATTTACCTGCTTCAAGGAAGCATCATTCCTTGGTTTGCAGTTAAAGGGACACTATAGGCATCCAGACTGTGAAAGATTTCATGTACTTACGTGTATGCCTTCAGTTGTACCTTCTCCCTGCTGTTCAAATACTTGTAATAGGTATGTGTTGAATAATTGTATTCGTCTACCGAACGAAAGACCACCTGTCCTGGGTAGCAATCAGCATTAGAACGTGGAGAAAACCGCAACTTAATTGCTCCTAGGTGGCCGCCATTCGGCATACGAACACGTTGTGAGAACAAAGGATGGCGGCCATCTTAAAACTCATGAATGCGGTCAGCGGGGCGTACGCATGAATTGCATGGAACAATTTTGGCAAAGCAAACATGCGAACGCCCGGTTTTCATGGAAGTCCTGGATGAATACGTTCCCCTCCACGAATCAGTCTTGTTCCAGCATTAAGCTTTGGCTCATGTGTGGGTTATTCGGCGATACCAGGGATATTTCTTCTTGTGGAGTATTGGGTGATTTTCTTTTATGGGAAGAAGGGAATGCTTGACGGTGATACCGTATACTACCATCACACAGACCAATGCATCTCATTGAAGAGGTTTGGGTGCAGTGTCCCTGTTCTTTTAACCCTGCAATGTAAAACATTGCAGTTTTTGAGAAACTGCAATGTTTACAATGCAGGGTTAAGACTGCGTCTAGTGTTTGTCTACCAGACAGACACTAGAGATGCTTCCTGTGGTTTCACAGAATTAAACTTGGTGAAACAACGCTCACACTTTGCATGTGGATGTCAAGCATCTTGTGAATCTACACAGGAAATCAATGATCTTGGTGCAGGAATCAGGTAAGTGTTTAAAGAGTTTCATGGGGGATGAAGGGGCAGAGGGACACTGTAGTGTTAGTAATACGGCATTGTAAAATTCTGAAGCCCTGATGCCGACATCATTGCTTGGTGAGCGGTGACCCAGGAATGCATCTCCAACTCAGGGACCCTCACCACCTACTGATGCATCATCTGACAGAAGCCCATGTCAGTGCTCAAATCTTGCGCGTGCGCAAAAGTACAACACCGATGTCTATGGAGCATCTGGTAAGAGCACAGGAGCCTCCACAGACAATGCCCTTTTTCTAGCCCCTCATTAGTTCCTACTTTGTCTTATGATATATTTTGATAGCACTGGTATTTCAGTGAAATGTCAACACAGTCCGTGTGTGCATTTCATAGAGATTTTTCTTTATGGAATACTCCATTTGTTTTGTTGGGCAGGGTGACAGAGTCACTTTAAGATTTTAAGATCAACTGTTAGCACCAGGGGCCTGATTTACAAATATCCAATATAGCAAGCATTAAAAGTGAATTCACTAAAAATCAAATCACAGTTAATAATACAATGTAGGATGAATTTTAAGAAAGAAAAAAATAATGACCTTGTGAATACCTTTAGCTCAGCTATTTTGACATAAATATTGCCTAATAATTATAATTACTTAATTATACATACAATACAATACAATTATAAACTAACAATGAGTGCAGTCTATCAAATGCTTGAACAGCTTAAATCTTTCCCAATGTAATAATAAAATATTGGCAAAAAGTGATTTACCTTCAAGTAATTTTTCATACTGTTCTCGTGTGTCCACAAATTTTTCCTCAAACTAAAGATATAAAATGTAATAAAAGTAAATAATAGCACTTAATTCTTAAGGGAGGATAGATGGTGGAGGAACACTGAATACACTACTGTATCCTTTGCAGGATGTGGTTTTGGCCTGCTTTGCCCTGTACTTCTTGTACATTACATTCTGCTGCCATTTTTAGAATGCTGCATTGCAAGAAATATAATACTAAATGCAAGCAGGGTATTTGGCCATTTTTTTTAAAAAATAATTCTTTATTGTCATATTGTATGTGGTTACATGAAATACAATGAGGATATGACAGCTTTACAACCAATAGGTACCAGACATAGCAGGGGTACATTCTGAAGTATCCTCCCTTACAGTGACATTATGTTACAACCCCTTGAAGATTTGTTGAACACATACATTTATCATATGAAGACCTGGTAGAATTATTATTATTTTTATTTTATTTTTTAAATTCTCTTTATTTAATATTAACCATTTTATACAATTATCGATCTACAGGTAGATCGCAACAGATTGCTGCAGAACTTGGCATCTCGCTCCTCGACTAGGGGGGTTTGGGAATCGAGGCATTGGCAGGTCAATATGCGTTGTGTCCTCTGTTGGACTCCTCGTTTCTGCAATGCGGAAGAGGAGTGTTCTGACCTGTTGCCCTGGTAAGGGTCGAAGACTGTCCTCTGTGTGTTAGTGTTTGCTATATAACCAGTATTAGGACATAGAAAGAGGGGTGTGAATATTTTCTAGCTAAATAGCTCTTTATTTGGCCATTTTTATGTATCTTTGTTACAGCTACTGTGTGTGACAAAGATTGTATTTCTGCTTTTAAATGAAAAGAACTGCAGTTACGTTGGACCCTGCATTAAAAAAAACATTACAGGGGACCCAAGGATGGGGGTGGCGGCAATAGTATAAGGGTTTTTGTGCCATAAGACACTTTATCATAGACCCTGTTATATATTAATATTCCTCAGACTGAGTTAAATTATTGGCATTCATGCTAGGGGATATAACTTGTGCTACCTTTCATATTATTTCAAATAAATGAAATACTAAAATTCTGTAAATGTGCTTAGTTTGATTTTTAGGTATCGCAGAACAGTGATCTACGCACAAAATAGTTTTAAATTTATTTGCTAAATATGCATTCCATGTTTAACATAAATGTTAAACTAATTTATTTTAAGAAAAAAACTCTTGGTAACAAAGAGGTGAAGTACATTTTAATTGTAAGCAGAAGACAGCAAAAACAACACAAAAATAAGCATTGCCAAGTTTTGAATTTACATTATACGTGTGTGTTATTCATAGAATATTTTTAAATACACACCTCTACACCTGCTGCTGCTAGAAGCCATCTGATTGGCTCCATTCTGCCTCTTCCATTGAAATAGTGAAGTATGGGTTTTTCACACATAATTGCTGTTCCTAAAAAAAATTAAAAAAAATACTATAATGATCCTCAAGTTTATTTTACCATAAACCATAACCAGTACAGTTCACTGCAGACGTTACTGGCAACATATTTTTAGGTGCTACTCCATTTTTGTCAAACCATTTTGAATAAGATTAGGAAAAAAAGAATTACTAAAAACGGACATTCTGGGTATATAAAAGCCAACCTTGCCACTGTGCTTCAAATAATGCAGAAATTAACTTTATCATCATTTGTCCAATCCTGGAAATCACTGATGAGCTGGAAGCACAGGGCTAAGCACTCACACTCTTTGGCTGTGCCAGATCATCATTAACTCCCTCAGTACTGCCAAATTGCTACCGGCAATCTGCAGGGCCGCCATCAGGGCATGACAACCATAACGGTTGTCATGGGTCCGGCGGTCCTGGGGGGCCCGGATGGCTCAGGTCGTCCCGGGCCCCACATTCAGTGGCGTACATACCGGGATCGCAGAGGGCCCGGCCGCCCTGCGACCCGGTATGTACCCGTTGTGGCCAGCCTCTTCTCCTGGGGGTCCCAGCAGCCGGTCACCTCAGGGCTCCCGAGGCTGTCCCTGGTGTCACCCGGCGGGCGGGCTGGCGGGCGCGCGAGGGAGCACTCTCCCCTGAGTGCTTCCTCTTCAGCTCCCTTGCGCACCGCACTGATGCCAGAGCTGGAAGATGACGTCTGGGAGAGTGCCCCGGGTGACACCACTGGACCCCGGGGAATTCCCTCAGCACTCCCAAAGGTAGGGAGGCTGGGGGGATGAAAAAAAAAGAAACGTGTTAGTGTGTGTGTGTTAGTGTGTGTGTGTGTGTGTTAGAGTGTGTGAGTGGGTGTGTGTGTTAGTGTGTGTGTGTGTTAGAGTGTGTCAGTGAGTGTGTTACTGTGTGTGTCTGTTACTGAGTGTGATAGTTTGTGTGCATCTGTTAGTGAGTGTGTGTTTTGTGAGTGAGTGTGTGTATTTCTGTCACTGAGTGTGTGTCTGTCAGTAAATGTGTGTGTCTGTTAGCTAGTGTGTATGCGTCTGTTCGTGAGAGTGTGTGTGTGTCTTAAGTACTTACCTTTCTCCAGCGCCGGACTCCCTTGGCGCTGGGGATCTCTCCCCCCTGACCCGCTTCTCGGCTCCGAATGCAAATGCGTGGCAAGAGCCGCGCGCGTATGCAAACCGCCCATAGGAAAGCATTACTCAATGCTTTCCTATGGACATTCAGCGTCTTCTCACTGTGATTTTCACAGTGAGAATCGCGGAGGTCCTCTAGTGGCTGTCAATGAGAGTAAGCGCGGGGGGGCCCCACAGGTCAGTTTTCGCACCGGGGCCCCATGGGTTGTGTGTACGCCACTGCCCACATTAGCTATGTGCACACATATATAGCAATTAACGCTATATATGTGTGCACTGCGGGCCCCCCGCTACCTGTATTCTGCAGGGGGCCCAGCACACTTGAAATATACTGCCCAGATGCTCTGCTCTGTCGAAGTCTCGCGAGCGATGCGAGCGACGCGATCATTGCCATGGCAACGCTCCGCACGGCTCCCGAGACCTCAACAGAGCAGAGCATCTGGGCAGTATATTTCAAGTGTGCTTGGCCCCCTGCAGAATACAGGTAGTGGGGGCTGCTCCATTCCTCAGGACCTCCGGCTCCAGCCAATGTGATCTCCCTCCATGGCCACAGGTGAGATACAGGGAGGGGGGGAATAAAACAATACAATTAATGGATGGGGAAAAAAACTGTAGGCTTTTCCCCCCACATTTTGCAGCCCTATACATTTACACACACTATACACTAACATTTACACACACTATTCACTAACATTTCACTAGCACTTTGGGCGGACTCGGGTGCAGGCAACGGATGGCCCAGACCTTATGCTGTGTCAGGGGCCCCAAAATTTCTGATGGCAGCCCTGGCTCTCTGTGACACAAAGGATTTAATGGTGTTTTAGCATGACCAAATTTTGCCTGAATAATTAAAAAAGCAGAGATGGTGAGCCTGGGTGCTGGGGAGACTCCAGGCTGGAACCAGGACATTCCTTCACAATAACTTCTACAAACAGGTAGTAGTGGTTATGGTGTTTGGAGAGTCAATTTAAAATGCATCTATGTGCCCTGTCTGGCAGCTGCTTTCTTCATCAGCTTTGAGAAACTTTGTAAAGCCAGGATCTCTAAAATATGTAATCCAATACCATGTTCAATGATCAGGAAATACAAGTCTAAACTAGTTTGTTAAAGTATAAACATGTAGTTAGTTTGAGAGGCTTGGCTTTAAATATATAAGTCATACTTTTTTATTCTTGCAAAATTTCCGTTATCTTAATACTGCAGACATGGCACACCCATAAAAAAAATGAACCTGTGGGAACTGTGATAGGAATTTACTGATATGATAACTGGCTACAAAGTTATGTACAGGTCACCAAAAGGGGTTGTAAGATAGCAAAATTAGAAAAATTACATTTTAGAAAAAAATACTTTGGGTCGCCTGGACATTAAGGAAAATGCAGTTTTTGTGCAGAGAAAAAACAAACCAACAAACAAACAAACAAAAAGAACCTCGAGATATTCACTTTATATAATGTTTTCTTTTTCAACCTTTCCTAAATAGATGCAATGCTCCCTGGATTACAGAGTTTTAGACCTTGCATGTGAAACTCGCGGCCCAAGGGGCACATGTGGTTCACAATGAATATCTTTGCGGCCCAGTGAGCTGCGAGTTTGACATGTTAAGGCAGAGTAGGCACCTGCTCCCCCCACATTGCAAGTGCTTACTCTGCTAAAATTTACCCGGCCGGGCGAGAGGTCACTGATGGCAGTGAGGGAGCTCAGTCTGTTCGTCATTCTGGCCCAGCAAACTGCATGCGTGAGGAGCAGGAAGGGAGACCCCAGGCCCCACACCAGCTCCCAAAGATATTGAGCAATAAATAAAATGATTTGTGAGTGTGTGCAAGAATGTGTAAATGTTTGTGTCTGTTAGTGAGTGTGTGTGTGTCTGTCTGTCAGTCAGTGAGTGTGTCTGTCAGTCAGTCAGTGAGTCTGTCAGTCAGTGTGTGTGTGTGTGTCAACACTGAAGTTGCTGTTTAGAGGATAATGGAGTGCGCTGGATTTTCTTTTTTTATTGTATAAATATAGGATATTTATAACAGATATATAACAGATATTTTGGTTGTTTACAGTGACAGTAAAAACGCCCAGACCACTTTATTTTTAATGAAGTAGTCAGGTGCAGTATCACTGCCGTATTAACTCAGCAATGTAAAACACTGCCGTTTTGTAGGAATTTCATTGCAGGGTTAAATACACCTCAACTGCCTGTCATCCTGACAGTCACCCTTGGCCATCCCTTGTGAGAACTAAGTCAGAGTTGGTTCTCAAAAATGCTCAGGTAAAAACAAAAGCTGTATGTAATACTGCCAAACGAAAACATCTGTGAAAATCAAAGGTCTTAAAGTAGAAGTAGTGAAACAGCCTGTCAATTGAAAGTGATTATTAGGATTACACATTAGTGTGAGTTAGGTGTGGCCAGGGGCAGGGCGGTTTTATGAAACTCTAGTAGACTTAATAACAATTTCTGTTATTCACCAACAATATAGAGCTCCTAGAAAAGAGGTACATTAGGGACCGAGGGATTTGGGCCCAAAGTAGAGAATAGCGCATATATCAGTATGGAGTATATTATAAGTCAATACCCTTAACCATATAGTGCAACACAGTGGCCCAAAAGAGTGTATAAAAATATGTTTATACACAATATTCTGTAGGTATCACTGCAGGGATAAAACAGACACTTTCATAGGGCAGTATAGTCTTTATAATATATGGTAAAAATAAATAACCTCGGGTGCCTGAGGAAGACACAGGAAAACTGTTGAAACATGTTGTGCTTGCTGCATATTGTGAACCTGGAAACTAGTTACCTTAAAGGGACACTCCAGGCACCCAGACTACGTCTGCCCATTGGAGTGGTCTGGGTGCCAGCTCCCATCATGCATGAGGACCTCCAGAGTTGCCAGAATCCCCATAGGAAAGCATTAAATAATGCTTTGCTATGGGGAGGACTAATGCGCACACGTGGCCATTGTGGAGTGTGGGCGGAGCCTGACGCAGCGCCGAGGGACATCAGCTCTAGATTGCGGTAAGTCACTGAAGGGGTTTTAACCCCTTCAGCAACATGGGATGGGGGGTGGGAGGGAGAGGGGCACTGCAGGATTAGGGATTTGTTTTCCTGGCACTGGAGAGTCCCTTTATCCCCTTAAAGGATCACTATAGGGTCAGGAACACAAACATGTATTCCTGACCCTATAGTGTTAAAACCACCATCTAGCCCCCCTGGACCCATCATGCCTCTATAAATATAGCAAAATCTTACTGTATTCAAGCCTGAAGCTGTAGATCTGCATGATATTTGCCTCAGAAAAACAAGCTGTCTGCTGACATCATCAGAAGTGGTAGCCTGATCCAATCCAATCCAATATAATCCAACTATCCCATAAAGGCATACCATTTCTTAAAGAAGGCATCCCAGGGTATTTCAAAAGGCATATTTTGAACCTTAATGTGGAATTCTTTTTCTGCTAGCTTGTACCAAGTGTAGTGGTAATAAGCATTTTTTCTGCCTTTTTGACACACAAAGTGAGTTTGCACAGTATATTTTGCAAACCTTATGTGTGCTACGACTGTATAATACTTTATATGTTGCTCAGCTATGTTGTCTGAGTACAGCAATACCTCCGTATGTACCTTTGCCAGGTATATGTGGATGCTGAAGGGGCACATTTGAGACGCAGTCATTCAGTTTGTTTCTAACTTTGAAGTTTTACGCTGTGTCCATGTTTAATTTCGGAATAGTTTAGCTGGTTGGTTATTCAAACTTCCCCACAAACACATACTATTTATTAAGGAATACACCCTGGGGTACCTTAGCGTGGGATCCTTTTTTCACTAGTTTGTTCCAGGTGTAGTGGTAATGAGCATTTTTAAATATATATTTTTAAATTTTTTTAAACGTTGTTTACTTTTTAAAACTTGTTTTAAAACATTTTTGTTTACGTACTAATTTTTTTAACTTTTTAAAAATTTCTTAAAGCTTTTTTTACACTTTTAAAATATTTATAAACTTTTTTTTACCGTTAACCTCTAGCTAGCAGTAAGCAGCACTAACAGTAAACTCCCCAATTCTCCATAACTCCCACCCACTCCATCTAGCAAAATATATAATTTTAAAATATCATAATAAGTCCACAAAGAGTTTGTGGACTTACTATGATCAACTAATAGTATAAGGCTTGCCCTACTTGGTTTCATGTTGAAAAACAGAGGTGACGTTTTGCCCAAAATGATACCGGAAGGCTCCGATTGTAAACATAGGAAAATGGAAATGACGTATCGGCACTTAGACCGGAAGTCACGTGACCAACAACTACGTGAATCACGTGAACGTCAGCTACGTGAGCGTCAGGATTGCGCAGCGCACGCATGGCAAAACGTTGCGCTGCGCCAATCAGCATCTCCTCATACAGATGTATTGAATCAATGCATCTCTGTGGGGAAAGTTCAGAGCCTCAATGCAGAGCAGAGCTGCGCATTGTCTATCAGAGACCAAGGAAGCACCTCTAGTGGCTGTGTGAGTGACTGCCACTGGAGGTGTCCCTATGCAGCAATGTAAACCCTGCCTTTTCTATGAAAAGGCAGGGTTTACATTAAAATGCCTGTAGGGACTGGCTATACACTGACTATAGTGTCCCTGTAAGGTGGCTTGTAACTTTTAGCACATGGTACTTCAAGACACAAAATTGTGATGCCTGCATACCTCATATAAACACATTGCCATGATTCACCTACACACAGCAACAACAATACCACTACTACCACGCTTAGCCAGACGCCTGCTCTGCCTTTAAACTCTACAATTATTAGTTGTGAGTTATCAGTACTAAAGTCTAATTAATCCCGCTGGCCAGTTCGAACTGTATATACTGCACGACCTAACTAATTAATCAAGCTGTGGGACACAGTTTATTAACTTTATTAATTTTTTTTGTCACTCTATTGTTTAACCACATGCCCAGAACATCTTGTTACCCTTGAAGTCTGGTTTTATCACCGATCTGGACATGTTACATTATTTCGCGTTTATAATATAAAAAATTGTGCATGCGTTACCCAATACTATGCTAAGCCTGAGGATTGCCGTTGGGGTACCTCGGGCCTGACTGTACTTTTCATATGCACTGCAAATATATAGAATAATTTTATTTTTTTAAAACCCTTTAATTATTATTTATTATTATTTCATTATTTATATAGCGCCATCACATTCCGTAGCGCAGTACAATGGGTGGACTAACAGACATGTAATTTTAACCAGACAGTTGGACGTACAGGAACAGAGAGGTGGAGGGCCCTGCTCAATGAGCTTACATTCTAGAGGGAGTGGGGTATAGTGATACAAAGGGTAAAAGTAGGGGTACGAAGTAGGTTGTTAGAAAAGTATTCATTGAGGGCTTAGTAGGTAATTTTTTACAATTGCAGGAGAGGAGTCATGGGGGTGGGGGATAAAAACCTGCTTACAGTTTAAGTGATATGCTTTCTTGAAGAAGTGAGTTTTCAATGATTTTTTGAATGAGTGGAGACTGGTTGAAAGTCTTATGGAGAAGGGAAGGGCGTTCCACAGAAGAGGTGCAGCCCTGGAGAAATCTTGGAGGCGAGCATCAGAGGAGGGAGATGTCAAACTGCCACATGCAGTACCTATGTGGATGTATGACTAACCCTGGTGTTTAATTCCTACAATTTGGTCCTAGAGATATTTGGAGGATCTATCAGGGAAGTGCACTTTGTAATGGGCTCCCAGGTAATGAACTTTAACTGAGCTTCAGGAGATGAAGGGAAGTAAGTTAACATGAGCTTAGCCAAATCATCATAACATTCATGATCAAGATCACAAATACATGACCTTAACATATGTCTCATATGTCCAAGCCAGTAACATTATATTTTTAAGATTATGGCAATTTACTGAAAAAACATAGCTTTGCTTGACATTACATATGCTAACTCACCTGGCAAATGTTTAAGTATTGGCACTTTATTATTTTTTTACAATACTGTTTCTTTTTGGTTCTTACATGCTTTTGAAATAAACATTATGTTAATGTTCTCCAATGAATATGTAAATCACCTTGGATGTGATTAGGGTTAAATGACTCCACCCATACATTCAGTAAGCCATTTCTTTTATACAATGCCCAATATTCAAAGAAACCCCATGTGTGCTCAAGCTACTAAACAGTTGTGAACTGAATTGAAAAATGTATGCAAAAGTGTTGAGTCACATCTTGGCTATTTCATCCAAGAGATACCAACAGCATCCAGGGGAAGAGCCAGTTAGTGGTGAAACGCACGTCAGGACGGAGACATGGGGCAATTTTCAGCTTTATACTTAATGATTTATGCACCATAGCTTCTCTTGAGATCCTGTTGGCATCTCATACTTGGTTTTAACATTTATTCTTTGTTTGTATTCCATCTGGAAAGGGGCTGGGTTTTGCTTTTATACTTTTTCTGTAATTAGTATATCTTATCTCAAGTTGATGGGAGGTAGAGATTTTTTAAGGGGTGCCTTTGAAGGCACAATAGTGTAGCGAGACAAAGAGCTAACTAGTAGATTTACCCTCATGGTGTTATCAGTGTTTAGTTTGCGGGGTTTTTTTTGCCCCTTGCTCTATAAACCCTATCCTCCTGGTTTCTTTCCCTCCCCTTTCCTATTATATCTACCCTAGGAGTGTGTCTCTTTGATTTGTATACACACTCTTTAGGAGGTTATTGATGGAAGGCAGCATATGATCTAACACTTTAACTGGATACTCCACCACGGTGATTTGACATATTTGTTGTTTTACTTACTAACTTAAGTGGATAGATTTGTATCAATCTCACCGATAGCTACAGTTTATATGTCAAATATATTTACTTAGAATATGATGGACCTATTTATAATCAGTACTTGATTGTATAAATACGGTAATTAGGGATCGACCGATTATTGGTTTGACCAATATTATCAGCAGATATTCTGTATTTTTGGCAATATCGGTATCGGCCTATAGAGATGCCGATATTGCTGATAATACAGACCAGGACAGCCGGGCTTGTAATGGTTCCTGGAGGGTCCAGCAAGCTCTTACTTACCTTCCCAGCAGCTCCCTGTGTAAATCTCGCGAGTCCCGCGGCCATAACTCCACACAGGCCGCGAGAGTTAGACAGAGAGCGGAAGGGAGCTGCTGGGAAGGTAAGAGCTTGCTGCGGTTCCCCACTGCACAGTCCATGCCACCGGACCACCAGGGAATGCTATATTCCCCCTCCCTGGCCAAGTAAGAAACTGGGAGGGGGGGACTAAAAATTTTTTTTTAGTGTTTCAAAACAGTAAAACGTATTACAACAATAATATCGTCAGTGAAAGTGCCGTTTGTGTGTGAAAAATGCAAAAACATCACTTTCACTGACAATATGATCGTTTTAATACAATTTACCGTTTTGAAACACTAATATTTGTGTTCAGCGAAGTTTCCAGAGTGAGGGACTGGCTAGAGATGTCGCGAACCGTCCGCGAACTTCTCGCGAAAGGTTCGCCACGAGCTGTTCGCGGCGAACTCCGGTCAGCTGACACGTCCCGGCCAATCTCCAGCAGACCCTCCCTCCCAGACCCTCCTACTTCCTGGACAGCATCGTAGAAACATGGATGCTGTCCAGGAAGTAGGAGGGTCTGGGAGGGAGGGTCTGCTGGAGATTGGCCGGGACGTGTCAGCTGACCGGAGTTCGCTGCGAACAGCTCGTGGCGAACCGCAGCGAACCGTTCGCGAGAAGTTCGCGGACGGTTCGCGACATCTCTATTAGTGGCTAGCAAGGCCACAAGTGGTGAAAACTGGTATTGAAGTAAAATAGAAAATAAGAAAAGAAACATTATTTGAGTTGTCAGGATAGGATTCTGACACTGAGTTTAAATTATTTCCATTTTGAGAATAAATATTATATCCAGAAGACGGGCACGGCGATGAGGACAGCTATAACTATGTACAAATATGAAGAAACCATCTTAAAATCGTTCTTTCAACAGTCTACTCTAGTATTTAAACACTATATTGATGACTGTTTCATGGTCTGGTTGGGAAATGGAAAATCATTTGAAGAATTAGTAAAGAAGATCAACACCCACCCTGGCCCTATTAAAATGACATATAGATACAGTAGGAATATGATTAACTTTCTGGACCTGTTAATCACATGAGAAAACAACTCCTTAAGCTACACATTATACACAAAAAGTACAGATAGAACTACTGTCTTACATTGACAAAGCTCCCCCCCACCGCATGTATTCAAATCAATTCCATATACCCAATTTCTTTGTAACAACTCAAATTTAATAAAATCTGAAGATCAAGTATAAGATATGTACAATCGTTTTCTATTCTTCGTCCTTGCTGGATATACAACTACATAAAGCAAAAGAAAATGCAAAACAACCTTATAAAGTTAAATTGTTGTCAAAAAGTAGAAGTGAAAATACTTCAAAATTACCCATATAAACTCGAGTATAAGCCGAGTTTTTCGGCACATTTTTTGTGCTGAAAAATCTCCCCTCAGCTTATACTCGAGTCTGTGTCTGTATTATGGCAACTTACATTGCCATAATACAGACCAGGACCGCCGGGCTCATTGCAAGCCCAGCGGTCCTGTTGGGGGCCGGAGCAAGCTGTTACTTACCTTTGTAGCAGCTCCGGTAAGCTCTGTGCAGCTCCCCAGTTCAGTTCACAGTGTAAGTCTTGCGAGGCCCGCGGCCGTCAAAGCATTGCCACGGGTTACACTGTGAACTGACTGGGGGAGCTGCACGGAGCTGACAGGTAGCTGACCGGAGCTGCTACAAAGGTAAGTAACAGCTCTGCCCCCCCCTCACCCCTACACAGCCCATCCACTGGACCACCAGGGAATGTTACAGCCCCCGCTCCTTGGCCAGGCAACAAGCAGGGAAGGGGGACTAAAAAAAATATTAAATAATAAAATAAAATAAAAAATTAAAATAATATTAAAATATATATTTTTTAAATAATAATAAAATAAAAATAAATTAAAAATAATAAAAATGCCCTCCCCCCACCCAGTTCACACACACTACACAAACACACACACACACTCTGCATTGACACAAACACACACACTCTGCATTATATACACACAGGGTCTGTATGTATATAATGCAGAGTGTGTGTTTGTATGAGTGTATGTGTATATAATGCAGAGTGTGTGTGTGTATATAATGCACACACTCTGCATTATATACACACACACACTCTGCATTATATACACACACACTCATACAAACACACACTCTGCATTATATATACACACACACTCATACAAACACACACTCTGCATTATATACATGCACACACTGCATTATATACACACACTGCATTATATACACACACACTCATACAAACACACACTCTGCATTATATACACACACACTCTGCATTATATACACACACACTCATACACACACACTCTGCATTATATACACACACACACTCTGCATTATATACACACGCACTCATACAAACACACTCTGCATTATATACACACACCCTCATACAAACACACACTGCATTCATTATATACACACACTGCATTCACACAAACACACACATTCTGCATTCATTATATACACACACTGCATTCATTACATACACACACTACACAAACACACACACTGCATTCATTATATACACACACTGTAAATACATATTCAATTAATGTAATTTTATTGGGATTTAATTTTATTTAGAAATTTACCAGTGGCTGCTGCTTTTCCCACCCTAGGACTTTACTCGAGTCAATACGTTTTCCCAGGTTTTGTGGTAAAATTAGGGGCCTCGGCTTATATTCAGGTCGACTTATACTCGAGTACGGTACAATAAAGCACTCAATACACAACGGCATCTGAGTTTGTATCTAAATCAGTCAAAACACATTGGAACCTTACTTAAAGGCTATCCTAACTATAAGATAAGGCCAGGGACTAATGAAAGTATTTTTTTTTAAAATTGAGCAGACTAGATGGGCCGAATGGTTCTTATCTGCTGTCACATTCTATGTTTCTATGTTTCTAAGTAAGCACCTTCCCACGTTTAGTTTTGTCAGGGGTCGCAACATCAGAGATTTAATAGTATCCACAGACCCGAATCATAAAAACTTGTTAAATAACAGAACCTCTAAACCTGGATGTTTCAAATGTACAGGGTGTGTAACATTTGGACACATGTTACAAACAAGGACTTTTCTAAATCCACACAACAACAAACGGTTTGATATTAAACAACATATCACCTGTATGACGGTCCATGTAGTGTATAAAATCACATGTTCATGCGGACTACACTACATAGCAAAAACAGAGTTAACCTTGAGAGACCGAATACTAGGGCACCGATCAGCTATTAATACCGCTTATCGTGATGGCTTCACGGAGAAACCAGTAGCAAAACATTTTTTGTAGATAGGACACTCATTGAGCACGTTAAAGTTCATTGGCATCGATACAATACCACCACTCTCCAGTGGGGGTGATAGAGCTCGTCTGCTCTTACAGCGTCAGACCTTTTGGATAAAGATTCTCAATACCATATCTCCATATGGTCTCAATCAATATATTTCATTTTTATCTTTCTTGCCCACACGCTAATAACTATGATGACAGCTATAAATTATCTCTTTAGTCATCTAATTGATATTTTTTGGACTCGTTTAATACGGTCTCCATCAGAGACTGATTTTATATATATATAGTATATGTATATATATATGTCCTTTCAACTTGTTTACAGTGGTGTTATACAAATTTAATAACCACTAAGAATTTGTTCATTCCTTCTCCTAGCCTGTTATCAGCTTCTATTTCCTCTTTTTATTACTATCTATAGATGGTAGCCTGACATCTATAGAACCCATCTTGAGATGATTGAGTCACTAAGATGTATAATGGGATATAATCATATATAGAAATATTTGAAAATAGAAATATTAAATTATATCTTCTATTTAATTAAAATTTATTATCCAGTCCTTCTAAGATATTTTTCTATAAAAAGTCTGGCTTTCCTATTTTATAGTTGCTGTTTTGCATAACTGCATAGAGGCAACTTCGCTTAGTCTCACGGTTTATCCCTTTTTTGGATGTGTTCTCTTTGTATTACACACATACACCCTTCCGGAACTATTTTACAACATCTTTGTTGCTGTTAGGTTCCATATACGGGTGCACGGTTTTAGGAGGCATTAGGCTGTAACTCATTTCCGGTACGCACTTAGTTTCCAGTTTCGTCTTCCGTGGTGGTGGGATACACACAGGGTATATAAGTGATATTGTGATGATTGTAATTTGTCTTGAGAAAGGATCACGAGTGGGTCCGAAACGTTGACGTTGCACAATTAAAAACTTTTTTTATTTTTTCATAACAAAGTCCTATGAATGCCCACTTCTTTCCAATATTGGAAGAGTGTATTTTTGTTCCACTGTGGAGCACCAAGGCTATATTTTTCAAAGAGAACCGAAAAAAGTGACAACCCAGGCAGTCCCCCTGCAGGCAGCTCTTGCGGCCATGTGATCGCTCTTTGAGAGCAATCACATGGCCCCTGGGGGCCTGATTTGCCGTGGGAGGGCTGTCTGGGCTGTCAGGCAGTCCACCTGAAGCGGAGCGCAAGGAAGGTGAGTATACCGGGCGCTCCAGGGCTCAAAGCTGTTATGGCGTTCTATGCTTTCGCAACGGCTTTAGAGCCCATTTAAAGCATAGAACGCCATAACGGCGTTAAGGGGTTAAGTACAAGTTTAAGAATGTGTGTCTTTCATTTTTCATTCCCTCTCTCATTAAAAAAGAAACAAACGCAACTTATCTCCATACAGTAGGCTTGTCTATGCACATATAGGAGCCTATACACTAAATGACACAATTATACAAAGACAAGTCCTGCGCTCAGACTCCCACTATTCCTGGACAGCAGCAATGACCAGATAAATCAGTTACTTGTGCACTATCCCAAATCAAAAAAATACCCCTCTGTCTCATTAGAGATTTTTTTACCTGAAGCTGAAGGAAGCGAGGTGAATTGTTAGTGTAGGGCCCACCTAAGAGGTTTGCCTTGACATGGCAGCTGGACTTACACCTAATAGCCATAGGAGTGCTACTAAAACCCACCAGTTATTTAAATATGCATAGGGATTTGGGATAGTGTGCAAATGACACACAATGATTACAATGAAGATGAAAATCTTAGAATAAGATTATTTTATTTTAGAATAAAACATTGTATTTAGATAAAAAAAAAAAAATCTCAATTCAAACAGTAGATTTGTATGTTTTATATACAGCTATTTAGACTTAACCTTACAATTGAGATGCCAATTCACCACAATTACCTGTTTAAATAATAAATGCCTTTACTGACACAAAAATCATCTTTCCAGATACAATGAACTATTATCCAGACTGTATAATATACACTAAATGACAGTATAAATTAAACTTTGATAGCACATTCAATATCTACAGCTTATATTGTATAACATGCATGATGAATTTTAACCAAGCAAGCAATGTGCCTCATAAGTTAAAAAAAAAAAAGGTAATGTTTCAGAATATTAATATGTTACACAACAGGCATTACCTCACTCTGGTCACTCTTGAGGAAAAATAAGTCAAATCCTCCCAACAATTCCTTTGCAAACTGTAGAATGTGAACGTGGGACAGAATGAAGAATGCTTTGAAGCAGAGGATGCAAGGCGAGGTCAAACAGACCAATCACAAGCTAGCACAGTAATCTGACTATCCTTACAGCACATAAACATGTGCTACGCATTTCAGAATCCATACTTTAAAAGAAGAAATTAGCATGCAAAATCAGGTCTCCTGACTAGAATAACTGGTATGATTTTATCTGATGCTAGTGTTAAGCAGTGAGTGAGTGGAGGGACCCCTAGTGGGCAAGTAATAAATTAAGTGGTTGTCTCCTTGGGAGTGAGTGCAACTAAATAGTTACTTGATATGGCAGGATGGAGGGGTCTCTTCATGCCTTATTGGGGGCCCTTCCAGCCTGCTAGTCTCTCTCTGTCTTCTTCCTCTGCAGATTTAGAAACATAGATTGTGCTCAGCGTGCAATTGTTCCTCCCAAGTGGTCCCAGGCTCTTCTTTTCGTCCTCTTCACACGGCAATGGAAAATGTCTGGCCCCTTACTCATCCTCTTCCTAATCTGTCTGCGGTCCCTGTCTTCACTACTCCTTTTCCTCTTGTCTATAAATTGTCTGACTCCTCTCTTTTCTGATGGCTGCTGTTTCTGCCCTCCTTCCCTCTGTTCTTACTGCGTTGGCAACATTATTGAAGGCAGTCTAGCTAATTCTGAAACCCATACGACTGGCTTTGTGCTTCCTCCTCTGGGTTTTTCTGTTGCCGATTACATGGGCACCCAAGATGGTCGCACCAGGCCTTCAAGTGCGCCCACAAAGTCAGGCCTGGCATCTGTGCAGTTCCCCCTAATTGGAGCAACTAATTGCAGAATGTTAGTTTACTGTGCTGCCTTCAAACACTCCCTTGCCAGATCAGGGCCCACAAAGCATTGAGGAAGCTACCAAGTGGAGTGAAGTATGCTGTCTCTTCTCTGGTGGCACAAAGTAAGAGAAGAGGGCTCTTGATCTTAATGACTTTTTACTGCTGAGCACCTTGTGTGAGTCTTGAGAAACCTGTAATGTGCAAACTTTCAATTTAGCTCTAGATAAATGTGAGGGTCCTTGCTCTGTGCTAACATTCTTATGTATTGAGATTGATACCTCGAGGGTGTTGTAAAACTCATTCAGGAAAAGGTAGCAAAAATGTTGCTTCCAGTTTCCATGGCTGGTGTGGTTTACCCCTTGTTCTTGAAGTCCCTCCATTCTGCTTGTGCTCCTCAATTTTTCTTGCAGGGGAGTGTGTTTAACAAAGTTGTCTCTGCATTTGTCTCCTGCTGCTGGGTCCAGGATTCCTCTGATTGAAGATCTAAAAGTTTGCCTGCGTGATAGCTCCTATCTATGGGAGTACATCATTGCAGCCCATAGTGACCCCTCACACCCTGACTAACCTTACAGGCTACAGACCTGTCTAGAAGCTTCTTCTGATTGTCTCTATCCTGCTTTACATACATACAGCTAGATATGCCTGGGGACCTCTGTGGAAGAAGATATGGAGCCTCTTTGGCCACTGAATGTCAGTACCTATTCAGAGGAAGTGGGATCCAAAACTGTGAGCACTATATTTGTCCCTCCGGGAGGCATAACCACCTAGCAAAGCCCGTAGAAATATTTCGCTGCGCTAAAAACGCTTGTGCTGTGCTCCTGCACAGCAACAGTGTTTTAGCCAATCAGGTGATCAGGACAACCGTGTAGCTCGCGGCAACCCTGATCATCTCAGATTTTAAAATGGCAACATTGATGGAGGACTCCATTTCTGTGTCTGCCACAGACATGGAGGATGTCTATCCTAGAGATAGCCCCATTAACGTTAGAAGGCTCCATATGAGAGCCTTCCTTGCCAGGGACATATCCTCTTCGTCTTCTGAGGAGGATATAGTCCTAGTTAGTAAGAGAAAAAAGAAGGCTTGCCTTTCCTCTTCAAGTTCTGAGGATGAACTTGATTTTGGTGCCTCTTCCCCTCATTCTCGTTTGAGTAGTCAACGTTTTAAAGGGACGGTACCTCCAAAAGCAAAACATGCTTTTCCCTCGTTTGAGGTCTCAAAGCAGTTTTCACACAAAAAGGGACAAGAGTCATTTGAGTGCTGTCAGTCCCTCACTGTCCACCTCAAGAGTGTTTGCTCATTCATCCTCCCTAAGCCGGTCCTGCTCCATACAGGGATCACGGGAGATTGATTTGGAGTGCGAGGAGGTGATTCGCTCTGCAGCTTCCACTGAACAAGGGAAGTTGAGCAACGTTCAGATGGACAGAGTGAGCCTTTTAGGTAAAGTGCTCCCTTCAAAATTATTTCATTCAAGATGGGCCAAGAATCAGAAGTAAGGGATTTTGCCAAACTAGCTTTCAGATCACCGCTAGTTAAAGAGGATGATCGCCTCCTTAGAAATCATATTGGTATCCCTGACATTCTCTCATAACCCTTCCCTACCAGCTTTACTGGCTTTTAAGATGGCACTTCTAAAAGCTTCCAGCAGAGCGATGCTTATTATCGGTCAATCCTTCAACTATATTTCTAACATTTGCAGAACCCGCTGGCTGCATGCAGCAGGGATGTCTGATTTAGCACCGAAATCACATGAATTCCCTAATTTTGAAAACTCAGAGTTGAGAGCAATCAGATTAGCCCTCCAAGGCCTCGTTCTGTTAAACTCCCTAGGTGTGTCGGTAATGGTTCAATCAGACAACAGGACAGCGGTAGCTTATGTCAACCACAGAGGGGGCACAAGGTCAAAAGGTCTTTGCCTAGAGGCCTTTGAACTGTGGTCCTGGGCTCTGGTTCACAAAGTTTGAATTTTGGCAGTTCATGTACCAGGAGAGGCAAACAAACTGGCGGATTCCCTGTCCCGCCAGCGTTTGTCCCTTGCTACAGTCCAGTTAAAGAGTGCCTTATTTCACCTGATAGAGACCAGACTGGGCAAGAGACAGATATATCTTTTTGCATCTCAGACCTCGGCTCAGGCTCCCAAATTTGTAACCAGGACTTGGGCAAAAATGAGCTTGGAAGATGGATGCGATGTCCTTCCAATGGACAAACATTCTGGGCCTTTACGCTTTTCCCCTCCATCTATTCTGATGAAGGTGTTAGAGAAACTTCGCAGGGACAGGGTGCCCAATCTTTTTTTTAGTGTACCCAATTTGGACCTCCAGACCATGGTATCCCCTGATCCAACCTCTAATCAGGGGACCAAAGGTTCCGTTAGGCTGGACAGCAGATTGCTTCCTAGGGACCAGGGATCTCTTAACCAAGCTCCCCCAATTTATGTGGATGGCAGCCCTGGTAGGCTTTTAACGCATCCTCTTTTGTCTGACCGGGGTTTAGACATAGTTAATTCTTCATTACAGGGCAGGACCAGGGTAAGATACAAACAGATGATCAAGAAATTTAAAGCATGGGAAGTTTCCTCTAATTCCCTTTCCCATGAATCTGGCACAATTCCCTAAGCTTTGGAATTCCTCACGCTCAAATATCATTCAGGGTTAGCAGTGTGTACGATTAAGACGTATGGTTCTGCATTAAATTTTCTAATCCCTAATCTGACCCAAGACGCCCTTTACCTCAGGTTACTCAAAGGGCTATCGGTCTGCCGGCCTTTTACTCCGAGATACACTTGCACTTGGGATGTGGACCTTTTATTAAACTACCTTAATTCTTTGGACAATGACCAGATTGACCTAAAATTGACGGCAATTAAATTGGCATCCCTTCTAGCTTTAGCTCTGGCAGCTAGAGGCTCAGAATCAACACAGCTAAATATTGTCGAACCATGGTTGTCTCGAACTCCAGGGGGATTTCATGTAATCTTTAATGGGAGACCGAAGACTTCCCATATTTTCCCAGGTCCTGTAGAACTAGATTTGGTGCAGGATTCTGCTGAGCCGAGTTTATGCTTTGTTAATTTGTTAAATTCATACTTGAATCTTTCTGCCCCAGTCAGACAAGACTTTACGCAATTACTTATCACCTCCAGAAAACCTTTTCGGCCAGCTAAGGTTAACACAATCAGGGGTTGGATACTGCATGCTATGTCTGCAGCGGGTATTGATGTCACGGTTTTTAAGGGTCATTCTATCAGAGCGGCTTCAGCTTCAAAAGCAGCAGCGAGAAGCCTTCCACTTCCTATTATCCTTAAAGCTGCAAGATGGTCTTTCAGTAAGACTTTCGTTAAGTTTTACTGGAGGCCATCGCAAGTTGAATGTTTACAGCTCCTTAGGACCACCACAAGATGCGTGCTATTCAACCTACTAGCTTTGCTAGGTGGTTATGCCTCCCGGAGGGACAAAATAGAGTTTGCAGGAATCAAACTTTCTTTGTCCTAGGGATAAGCATAACCACCTAGCAAAGCGCCCATCCCTCCCCAGGTTTATTTGTATTGCCTGGTGGTGGCAGGGTATTTCTCTGGTTTGGGAATCTTCTAATTAAAGTAATTTTGTGTGTTTGTTTTCTTTTTCACCTATATTTATTTATATCTATTCTGTTTATCTTTACAGATTACAACCGGCTACCCAGACAGGATCACCAAACCAAGGACCCTTCTAAATAGTTCTGGAGGTTAAGAAACTTCTTCCAGATGTTCTTTGATTATGAGTTATACTATACTAATATTTCTCTCAGAGACTGTTTGTTTTTTCACCTTCATGATCAAAGATTGTTTTGTTACATTTTCATGTTACTATTAACTGTCAGTACTTCAGAAATGTTTCTTATTTATTGTTACTTTATTACACCCTGTTCCAAATTATTATGCATATTTAAGTGTCACAAAGATTAAACATTTTGTTTTTCCGTTTAACTCATGGATGGCATTGTGTCTCAGGGCTCAATTGATCACTGAAAACAATCTCGGACACCTGTGATAATTAGATTGCCAGGTGAGCCCAATTTAAGGAAAAACTACTAAAGGAGGGTGTTCCACATTATTAAGCAGAGCACCATTTTTATGCTATATAGGGAAGAAAAAGGATCTCTCTGCTGCCGAAAAGAGTGAAATAGTTAAATGCCTTGGACGAGGTATGGAAACAGTAGATATTTCACGAAATCTTAAAGCGGCACTGTCATGCCGAACTTACCTTTCCTCAATCTCTTCCTCTTCTCCCCCTCTCTCAGGATCTGTTATTCTTTTCTTCCTGTCTTCTTTAGTTTTCTTTAAAATCACAAGACAAAGTAGGGACTCTCTGCCTTATGGAGGTTTCATCCGCTTGACCAGCTCCGACCAGCGGAGGAGCAAAGTGTGCTTCATTTCCGCTGGTCAGAGCAAATTTCCCATAATTCTTACCTTTCCTCTGTGTTCCCACAATGCTTCCTGTCATTTTAGATGAAACTGCCGAATTGCGTTCTAACTGAATGAGAACAGTATGTTCGTTTGTTTTAGAACGCAATTCGGTACTTTGTTCGGATCGCAATTTCATTCGAATGAATGGAACTCTGATCTTATTCATGCTGTGGCTGCATCTTGCAGCTGCTTAGTAGATAACTCCCTAATTCCCACGGTATCAGGGAGCTATCTACTAAAAGGCTGAAAGACCTAAATTGGTCTTTCAGCCACATTTACTAATACCAATTAAAAATTACTTAGTATTAGTAAATGATCTGTCCCTA